GAAAACAACTATAAACCAGAGACATTCTATAGAAGTGGAGAGGGAAATGGGATCAAAACTGGTGGAAAGGGTGCACAGGACTATGGTAATGGCACATGGGTGAATTGGTGGTGGGAAGTCGAAGTCCACAGGGTTTATAGCTGAGATGAAAACATGTACAAAATGAAAAAAATAGTAATAAATACATTTAAAAAGAAGAATAATCTGGACCTCCCTGGTGGCACAAGGGGTTGAGCACAGCACTATGAAGCTCTCTGCAGCCAGTGCAGCAGGAGTTCAATCCCCAGTGCAGCAGATTTCTCATACAAGAACTAGGTTACAGGCCAAAGATGCAGGGGGTGAGAGGATTCACCAGAGACAGAGTAGGTAGCAGAATAGGCTGACTGACTGAAATACACTGTTGAGGGGAGCAGTGGGGGAGACAGGATGCCCAATGGCATTTTTTTGCAGAAACGATTAACCATCGTGAAATGTGTGTGGAGCACAAAAGACCAGGAAGAGCAAAAACACTCTTTTGAGAGTGAATCTGCAGAAATCTTTCTCCCTGACTCAAACTGGTAACTGGACATAAAATCTTCAGTAAAGTTAATTAGATAACTAAAGTGAGGATTTGAACCCTGGCAGCACCCTGACATTTTATTCTGTGAGAACTATACCGAAAGGTGAGAGCTTGAATTCAGTTTCTCTGGCTAGGAAGAGTTGAGTCACCGACATTAAGAATGCAATTATTCTGGAGGAGGGACTTTCATTCCAACTTGTCCCAACCTAAACATATTCTGATGCTGGAGTTAAGGCAAAGCCAGTTTAAAGAAAGCCTAAAGAACGCCCTGGAGGAGATACAAAGACCGAGCACCCCTAGATAAACCTTTACCAGCTTCCAAGGTGACCAGTGGGGTGAAGAGATAAGCTTCCCTAGACAAACCTTTACCAGCTTCCACGGTGACCAGTGGGGTGAAGCGATAAGCTTCCTCTTCAAGGCCAAATGCCCTGATAGTACTCGGGGAAACTGCTTAGCCCAAGCATGGGAAGGTGCTTTTTCCCTCCAACCTGTTAGACCTGGGTGGGCTGGGAGGGGATGATGTGAACTCCAGAAAATTTTTCAGTAAGCTCCACAAAGTTATGATAAATCCACTATAGTAAAAACACACAAGATCAATGGAAAGGAACAGAGCCCAGAAAACCCACACCAAGGAGCCAAGAATAGAGACCGCAGGAAGACACACTCTTCAGTCAATGGAGGCAGAATGCAGAGGAATTCATGTTTCCTCAGGAAAGAACCCAGACCCCTAAGTTCTGATGCGTGAAGTTATTGAGGTATGCTGCTTGCCCACAGTAATAGCCACGGGATGTCTGGACCCCCTTTTCCAAACAATGAGGTTAGGGTTGCAAGCTTCCATATACATATATAACATGCTTCTGCATACAAACTGGATAAAACCCTGTCATTTCTGCTTTTAGGGGCTCAATTTCGGGAACTAGCCCACTGAGCATGCTGTTGTGAAAAATATCTCTACCTCTCAGAGTGCAGCCTGATTTCTCTGGGAAATTGCCCCAAAAGTTCCTCCATTCCCAACAGTGAACCCCCCCCCCAAAAAAAAAGCCTTCAGTTTCTCACATGCAGCCCTTCTCGTTTGTGTCCTCCCACTGGACCCCATCCGCAGTCAGCCACTTCCACTTACCCCACAATGGGCTAAGGAATGAGGGATGGGGTGGGGGAGGAAAGGGCCATGATACCCGAGGCACAGAGAAAGGCCGAACCTGATGCCTGGTGGTGAATACTGGTAATGTCGGCAAAAGCCAAGGAGATGTTCTCACTTTCCCCTCACCTTCAGTTCACCTCCTCCACTCGAATCCCCAGGAAACCTCTTGATCACAGAACAGAAGGGCCTGGCTGAGGCTGGGTTCCGAGGAGCAGACTTCCCTCCAAATCCCGGATGCACCGGCTTGGGGAAGTGGGTTGGGCTGCCTGGGCATGCGCGGTGAGAGAGGCCGCGCAGGTGAAGCCAGGAGGAAGGTGGGCGGGAGGGCCTCACCTGAAAGCCCTCAGGGTGGCAACGCCCACCAGGCCCTCCAGCTACATCGTGACCTTTTGGAAATTCAAACTGAAACGTTGGCAAAAATCCCAAATCTTCCCCTAAAAACAGTAAGACATCCATTAAGTGGCAAAATAGATCTATTTTGATTTCAGAATTTGCTCAGGATTGTTTAGTTGTGACTACATATCATTACAAACCAGCCACCAGCCAACCTCCGCCCCTCCCCCTGCCCCCACTGCATTCCCTCCTCTCTGCTTTTGCCAACATTACCAGTATGCACCACCAGGCATCAGGCTTGGCCCTTCTCTGCTCTTCGGTATCATGGCCCTTTCTGTGCCTCCACCCCCACCCTATCCCTCATTCCTTAGCCCATTGTGGGGTAAATGGAAGTCATCAGACTTTTTCCTTCCCTCCTGCCATTAGCATTGATGATACACATCTATGGTCCTATATGTATGCCTGATGGTGGACGCCTGGGGGGATGGTGTGGGTGTGGGTAGGTGGGCACACCTGAGCTGAGAGACTGAGCAGAGAATCCATAAAGATATAAATAAAACCAAACCCCTAATAGTTAAAAGTAGACCACAAGAAGCTAAGAATGTTTCACATGTCTCTGGAGGGATACAATGTTCACCTTATTTTAGTATTTGGATTAGCTTTTCTTATTCATTTCAGTTTTCACTAAAACCTAAAATCAAACAAAAAAGTACCAGAATTGTTTTATACCTTTATTTCAGATTAAAGTGCATTTCTTGAAAACTGTTTCAATATTCAGCTTTAACTGGCAAGTGGTAACATAGATCACATAAGTCTCTCTATGGATTGTATTCTCCCTCCCTTAACTGTCATGAAGAACCCCAGAAAACACTTTTAGTATAGGTCTACTTGTTTCCAACTTTATATAAAGCATCATACAAAATCCAATTGACTACATCTTATTTTCCAATGACTGGTACAGTCAATTCAGGATGAAGATATTTCCATGAAACTCCAACTATTAAATAATTTCATTTATTATAAACACTTCCTATATTCTTATAGTAAACTCTCTAAGAGTTCATTCAGTGATGGGAACAAAAATATAGGACTAATCAAGCACTGATTTTCCTGTCTTCTAAGTGCCGTATTAGTCAAGTCTATCCACAGGAGGTAGTGTTTCAACTGAAAGTAGTTGATTACTCAGCAACACAAAAAGCAAACTGCCCATATCATAAGTGTGGTTTAACCAATTGGCGCCAGATACCTTTCCCTCACATGGCAAGGCTTTTAATATCCATGGCAAACATACTAACAATATTTGAGGAAAATATTTAAGAAAATATTTTTTCTGAAACATACACATATTTGAACAATAGTATATACAATAGATTAACCTGTAATATTATTAAAATCTAAACAATGGTAAAGAGAAATTAAGGAAGTGAGAGCTTCCTTCTATCAGAAGCAAATAAGCCAAATGACTACATGCCCCTTATAGGAACAAACTGGTCTTTATAACAGAGATACACAAGCTTTCTGTAAAAGAACAAATGGTAGATAAATTGGTATTACATACCAGTCTGAGACTATTCAACTCCACTGCTGTATCAAGAAGCAAACACCTAAATATGCATGACCATATCCTAGTAAAACCTGCTTTAGACAGATTCTAGTTTCATGTATTTTTGCATTTAAAACACCCTATTCTTTTTTAAGGCATTCTTGGCTCTAGGGTGTCAGCAATCTTAAAAGTATGTGATGGACCCTATACTAAATAGCCTAATTGTTTCATCTCTGTCTTATCACTCACCAGCACAACAATCTCTACCAGTATGTAAACTTGCTAACAAATTGTTTTATCCAGTTATAAATTGGTACCCTGTGACCTACAGATGTTACACGTATAGAACATCTTAATTTCCACGTGATAATGAAAAACAATGCCTTCAATTTTATACTCTTGGAAAAGGGAGAGCTTAATTGTTTTTCTAATGAATGTTTCAGGTAGTGTTACAGTTTGGCCCTGCATTTTTTTTATCTTAATTGCTCTGATGAAATGACTGGTATATAAAGGAAAAAAAATTGTTAAAATCACAACGTAGGACTTAACATTCTATTGCAAGAACTAGGTAAAATCATGCAATTCTGTTAGAATATTATTTAAATAGCTATAAATAGCTCTATTAAATAGTTCTAAATCTGTAAGTCTAAATGACTCAGGCTTTAATACCTTCGAAGAGCAATATACAGAGTCTGGCATAATACATTTATCATGAATTAAGACACTGTAAAAGACAAAGCCCAAATTTGTTTTACAGCTCAATCAATACTTTTGATACACAAGTTATCAACTGAAAATAAAACCAGCTTCTGATTATATTTTTAAGTGCTTTGTATGAGGGAAGGTCTTACAGAAAAAAAACAAAAACTGAGTATAAGGGAAATAAAATTTCAACAGAATGCAAAGAAAACCTGTTGCAGAGAACTGTTACTCTACTTTCTTTCACACTCCCAAATTACAGTGAAAGAGGAAATTTCAAGTCACAAACAGCTTCCATAAAATGACAAGTCAAGTCAGAAGACTAAATGACATTGTGAGCTTCACTGGTAAATTACTTTAGTTAGGGGTAATGTTTTAGTAATCCTGAATCTTAATTTTAGTTAGGGGGTAATGTTTGGTAATACTGAAGTCCCATAACTTTGAAAACGTCATACTTAAGATTTCTCCAGTATATGAAAAAGTTAAAAAAAAAAAAATCGGGGTATAAACCATATATGGGTAATACTTATTGTGTGATCTGCTTATTAAATATAAAATACTTTTCTGCCTAATCAAGTTTTCATAAAAAGCCTCCAAATGGGATTTTTTAAAAAAAGATTTGTGCATACAAGGCAGGCCAGAGGGGGAGATTTGTGCATACAAGGCAGGCCAGAGGGGGAGAGGATTCACCAGTGGGGAGTAGAACAGGCAGACTGACTAAAATATATACTGCTGAGGGGAGCAGGGGGCGAGACAGGAGAGGTCTGCTGTGCCATGGGGGTCATCTCCCTGGCTGCGACTCTAAAGTGTGCTAAAGATAGCTTCATGCTGCTGTACTTTTACCCCTTGCGCCTCCAGGAAGGGGCCAAAAGGGCAATATTCTACCATAACAACTTGTAAAAAGTGAAAATCCTAGGACCCTGTCTGGTGGTGCAGTGGTTAAAGCGCAGTACTGTGAAGCTGTCTGCAGTCACTTCAGAAGAGTTGGATCCCTGGCCAGGGAGGTGACCCATATATGGTGTGACATACCTCTTCTGATTTGCCTACTGCTCCCCTCAGCAGTGCATTTCAGTGGGTTTGCCTTTCTTGCCCCCCAGCCCACCCTTGGCACACCCTAAATCAGTGTGTACTCCCAATTCATAAATTTGAAATTTTGAAAAAATACAAAACAAAAAAACCTAGCTTGTGTCTTTCATGGCAATGTAGTTCCAAGATCCTAAAAATTGGTCACCAAAACTTAATTCACAGCTTGTAGCCTCTGTGGTCTACCTTACAGTAAGTCCAGAGTCAGCAGGTGTATGGATCATGTGGTTTTAGAAATGAGATATCAGGCCCCCTATCACAGACCTACTAAATCAGAATCTGCATTTTTACATGTACATACATGTTTGCAAGGCATTACCCTAAAAGTGAAATTTTCATCCTGTTTATATAGAAAACACAAAGTAACTAATGGAACAGGTATAAAAAAGACAGGGGTTATGCCAATGAGCAAACAGCTCTCTATCCCTACCTAAATCTTAATGTTACCCACTGCTATTCTGTGTTATATTCCAGGTAATTCCACAACTCTTAACAATGTGATAGGCCTTTTCTAGTCAACTATGCAGTTCACACTAGAAGAAATGTCATTAAGGAAATAGTCATTAAGGACTATTTTGTTACATTTCAATTCAGCCAACTTCTAAGAATACACTTATCCATTACTTTTATTTTCTTAAAAATCCTACTAAAATGCACTTTCAGCCAATGTACCATACATACCTTTTGATCCTGGCTTCCAAACTTGTTCAAAATAAAAGCATTTTTAATAATGGATCACTGAAATATTAAAAATTTCAATTCATTATGAAACTCATTTTGGAACATTAACGATTATGCTTCTGCATACAAGTAGTTTCTTTTTATAAATGCATACATTAAAATCAATCAATCTGTTTCTTTATTAACATCTGCCATTTGTTTTATTAACCATTAAGAATTATATGGGGGAGAAGAAACTAATTTCACCTTAACAGTGAAACAATACTGGTATTGATGATCAAGAAAATTAATGTTTTATGTTATTCAGTAATCATTCAGAAAACACTGTAGAAAATTTTAAGGCAAGAATATTAACAGTAGGTTAATATACTCCTAACTCTATTAGCAATGAAGATTTAACAAATAGCTTTTCAACACCCAATATTTAAAAATATATCACTGATGAAAAACTATTTTTGAATTAAAGCCTGTGTTTGTACCAAATTTAGTAATTCAAAAATAGGTACTCATTTTGGTCATGTTTTCTGCTATACTATTTAACCTTCCCCAGAATCTCCTTCCACTAGCAGATATGTTTAGTTCACATGAACCTTTAAATCAGTCATGAAATGAGCAAATTTTGACTCCTCTAAACACTAAACACACTCCTTAAACCAGTTCACTAAAAACTATTCAAGTCTCTTAACTGTCAAATATAATTTGGGAACTAGAAACCACATTTTAAATTCTATTTTTTAAATTCATTTTCATCAGTTATTTTTTTAGGCTACAATCCGAATTCAATCCCAAATTCCTAAGTACTTGTAATAATGATGTATTCTGACTATGAAAAAAGACACAAACTTTTATTGTGCAAAGCTGGTGGTCCATTGTAGGAGTTAAATTAACACAGGAATTAAAATTTCTATTTTAATTAGAAAAAGACTAGGAAAAGAATGTGTGCCTCACCTTTTGAAGGAGTTAGTCTGAATAAAGCATGAAATTGAGATTACTTATTCTTTTCAGAGAACAAATGAGATATTCTCAGTTTAAAATTTATAAATGTATTAATTCTAAACACCCTATTTTTTCAAATGAGGCAAAACATATATACTTCAAAAGAACAGTTTCAAATTTCTTTTAAGTTTGCTTTAGGTATGAGTAATAAAGATTAAACTCTAGATTTTTCATATTCTAACTTGTAAAGAAAATACTCAAACTAACTCCCCATTAAAAGGAATTGTAATGAGGCACACTTTCTTGTGGCTGATGCCCCTTTCTACACCAAAAGGGGAAAAACAGGTAGCAAAGTTGTCATTGAATACTTTTTCATTCTCTATAACTTTACTCATTCTGGTTACTTTAGAAAATAAACTCATGTTTTACCTAAGATTATTAACTAAGTACAAAACTATTGTTTTATTTGTACATACAGAATCCTACAAACACCTGCAACAAGTCCAAATACAACTTCTACTGTCCATACTGGTAGCTCAGTACTCAATATATACAAAGTGTTTCTATTAGAGAAAACAAAGGTATTCACATGAAGCTGCGAAAATAATTCAATTAACAAAAGCTGAAATTTATAAATTAAAAATGTAATCTATACACAATGTACAATTAGTGGTGCATTTTAAAATGAATACTATCTCATAAGAGTAAATTTTCACAGGCAAATGCTGCTGCACAAATATCTGCCAATGCAAATGAATAGAATCTTAATAAATTCTGTTTTAATATTTTAACTCCCAATGTTCAAAATGTTAGTATTTTTCCTTGAAAGACAGTCAAATATTAGCAAAAAAAAGGCTCCAATTCTTTTGCATCTCATTTAAGGTGTGTCACAAAGAACAAATTTCATAAACCTCAGGCACAACAAATATAACTTAAAAAATTATAAACACCTTTACCCCTTCAGAAAAAAATTCAAATAAAACTAAATTACACTTAAGGATATTTTACATAAATGTTTCAAAATAAAATGCATGAGTTTTAACAGTGTGAATATTTATGATTTTGCTTCCAAGTTTTTACTTACAGTTCAGTGAAGTATTTAATTTTTTTGGAAAACCCATGCACAGGAAAATATGTTGGAGGGGGATTTTACATAATGAACTTACAAAACTGAACTTACATAATGGTTAACTGCCCTGTGGAGTTAGAACTGTTACCAACTTTGAAAACATTCAGTCCCTGAAACTGTGTTCTTTTTCAGAACGTATTTTAAAACCAACAAATCCAGTGGTGTTAAAAAAAATAATAAATAAATAAGGCTTCAATTTTCTCTTAAAATACTAAATAGAATTTTCATGGGTTGTTGACCTCCAGCGTGACTGTAGATTTTTTATTATAGTATTTGCCATGCTATTGAGTTTCTCATGCATTTCAAACAGCTGACTTCCTGAATAATTATGGAGATCTTCTGAGTCCAGTTGAAGAGCAAGTGCACTAATCTGTGCCACAAGATTTTTAGATAATGGAGTCTCTAAAGCAACAGGATCAACTAAATCTAAAAGAGAAAAATAAATAGCACAATTAAAATTATCCCAGATAAAATTTAAATTATATTTATCTCCTAACTTAATGAAGTTGAAATTCCTTGGTTTCAGGATTCAAAGTGCAGGCAGACATACTCTACCTCAAAAAAGCAAGGAAAGAGAAAAAAAATACAAAATACCTACCATTGCCTATTTTGTGCCATAAAGAAAATACTATTGTATTTCATTTTTATTAACAGAATAACTGGAACAATGTTTAGTTTATATCCTAATTTGAGGCCTTAATAGAAGAAGTTGACAAGTTAAAAAACAACCGGAAAAAACTTATTTTTTCATGCATTTGACACCATAAACATAACACTTCTTAAATTGACAGGACATGGTCAAATTAAAAACAAATGCATTTTAACAATATTTCTTCAAGAAAATGAGCCATTTAAAAAGCAAAAGGAAACATTTTATTTAATTAAACATTTTAATATACCTGAGGCAAGTCTTTCTTCTTCAGGAGAGAGAGATTTACTTTCTAGTCCATTTACTGTTTTTTCAGAAATGTCAAAAACTGGGATCTCTTCAAGTCCACGAGACTTCATCTTTATTATACACGCAGCCCAGTAAAAACAAAACCAACAAATCGTAAGTTGCTTTTTAATAGTAATAACACTACCAACATTGAAAATAATCTGACATTACATACTAGCTTAGCTAATAAAAATATACAAACTTATGTTCTATTTCAAAAAAATAGCACCAGAAAAAAAATAGTTTCCAGAAGAAAAAAAAAAAAAGCTTCAAGAAATATAGCCATGATAGCTAAGAAATTTAAATGACAATTATTTCCAAGTTTAGGACCATGGGGGGGGGGGCGGTGTAGCTAAAGTAGAGTTTTCCAAGTTTAAGTACATGGGCTTCATTTTAAGATTACTTCTCATGAGCATCCCCGAGATTACTGACTATATCAAAAACTACTTATGTGTACGCTGTGTAAGGGTGACTTTTACAGTATTTGAGAATACCTTAATATGATTTTCAGATAATCCCCAGGGCCATGGACCACTGAAAATACTTCAGATACTAAACTCCAGATCTATAGGACTTAACATTACTAATTTAGTCTCTGAGTTGTTTTAACTTGAATATTTTTAAAGATTACAATTTAGGCAATACTAAATCAAGGTATTTCTAGATAGAATACCCAAGCTGTTGGTAATTAGCCAACTCCAATCTCAGAAATTCTACTACAGAACACTGGTTTTCATCCTTAATGTAGCCTAATATTTTCATTTAATCACAACTTCAAATACTTTCAATTAACACGTAAAGGGTATATGAAAGGGTTTTAGGAGTTGGTGAATTCTTCTGAAATGAATGAGAACAAGTTTCCATTTTTAGAGGTGAAAGAGAAGCTGCTATTTGGGCTTTTAAACATTTTTGGTCATGGACATTTTTCAACAGATAAGAAGAATGAATCATAAATATATTAAACTTTAAAATAGCTTACAAATTTGCAAGCCTTTTTATAAATGCTTAAAATATCTAAGTGTTAGGAATAACAGCCAAGGAACCAATCAGCCCTTTGATAGAAGTAACAGGGAGGGAACAGAACTCAAAACAACAGGTATTATACAAACAATACAAAAATTAATGAACAAACTTGGAAATTATAAAACCTTCTCTTAAGTTACTCTTGACTACAGAAGGGAAGAAAAGATACAACATATTGGATTGTTAAGCAAGAATAATTCAAACCCAAACTTCCGTGACTGTTTTGTTAGATCATTTATTTACATATGATTCGTGACTAACATCCAAGTCTTTACCTGCTGTTCATGATAAATTCTGAGAGCCTTTTTCACATTAGACACTTTTGGAGAACGGATGGGAAGAGTCTTTATTTCAGATGCAGTCAGAGTACTCAAATCACCAATAGTTTTTATATTCTTGGCTCTAATAAGTTGTCCCAGTCCTCTTGCCCTTAACAGACAAAAAGAAAAGCAGAAAAAATGTCAATATATAGTTTCATATTTACTGCATTTGTGATGGACTAGAGAGTTGAATCTTCCTGATGTCTGCTCAATTATAAGTGAATTTATATACCCCATCTACTCAACTCTTAAGACAGGCACATAAAGGTTTAATTAAAAATCTGAATCCGAGGTATACAGGGGAAGGAGGAGCATAAAAACTAAGCCTAACGGATACCCCATAGTTGACTTACATCATGACTTAGTAGCTGTGTGGCTCTGGAGGGCCAACCTTTGTAAACTTCACCTCATAAAATGGAAATGTTCATTTATATTCCTTAAAGGGTTTCTAGTAAATAATATATATAAAGTTCAGAGCAGTACTTGGCAAATATTAAATAATTAAACATTATAATAAAAGCTCTTACTGCCCTGTCTCATCTTCTCACCTGAACTTTCATTTCTACATGATATGAGAAGATGTAAATCAATTCTAAATATTGAGAACTTTCATGTTAAAATATTTTTGTTAACTATATGGCATCATCAGCCTACATCAGAAATCAAAATAAGCACTTACCACATGTTTGATGTAATCTGAGGCAAAATGATGTCAACTGGTGCCATACAGTTCACCAAAGCTGGATAAACACTTTCCGTTGGGCATGACATGGATTCTTTAGTCATTTCTGTAATCTTAGAATACATTTTTAAAGTCATTAAAGAGGGTCACCTGTCTGAACATGAAAATATATAAAGTTACATGAAAACTAAAGCACTTCTTACTAAACACTTCTTTGAGCTCTTAAATTTAGGGCTACGTGATCCTGGGGACAGAAATCCTTTGGCTGAAGTGGTATTATGCTAGATAGAGGGAAAGAAAAAAAAAAGAACTCAGAACCCTAGATAACTGTAATTTTACAATTTTATTTCCACAATTTAAACTGCAATGATTTCTAAAAACCTTTATAAAATGTAAAGTGTAGTAATTACTAATTATTTGCTGAATCACCACTGCCTCTTCTCTTCTTGTGTGCTTACTATATAGCAAAGACTATATCAAAGAAGTTGTTTCCTACAGTTATTTTTGAGACAAATAATGCAATTTTGTGTCTCACACATACACATGTATTTTTAAGCCTACAGCTTACCTTATATTGCGCAGTTGGTGAGGTTTTAATACTTCTTACTATGGGAGAATTATTTAAAGAATAGGACTTAACAAGAGAGCATCGCCTATCAATGTCATCTGCCAATCCAGCTTGGTATATTGGATCTGCAAAGGAGACGCGTCGAACCTGAAAACATAAGCCATTTTTTTTATTTAACAAAATGAAAGTTTTTAAAAATAAACACTTAAATTCTCAGAATGTTGGGTTTGGAAGTTAAATTTATTCACTAGAAGCCAACCTTACATTCTTGCTTTTACAGATATTACTCAACGCCAGAGGTCATTTTTAATTATGTTCTAAACAGTCTCTGCAGACTATAGCAACAAAGAAAGTTGAAGCAGAATACCAACAGAAACTTAATGAAATGCCCTGTGGCAGTTGTATACTCAAACTCTATTGCTTTTATGGGCAATAGACTATACAACAAGGTAAAGGTCGTAATGATGCTAACTGGCTTTCTGGCAAATGTTACTTATCCTTGTTCTAAAGATGAGAGTTCCAGAATCAAAGCAATTGGGCGGCATATTTTGACTTCATTATTCATTAGCCCCAGCCTCAAGTAATTTTGGCCTCTTCTGAACTTTTCTATGATACATCTGCTTGCTCAGCTATTGGATATAAATACACAGCAAAGTATTTATAACATTAAATATATATGTAAATGTGTTCTGGTCTTGAACCCCCAAGAGTGGGCAGACTCCACAACCCTGCTGCGTAAAACTGTATGTTGTACTGGTGCCTCAATATTACATATACACTACTATCTAACAGAAGATGGCAAATTAAGGTATATTAATATTATTTTATGTATATATTGAACAAAGACATCAATCCTAATGTATTATTACACGTTTCAAGAAACCCTATGACTTATTAAATTTAAGATAATTTAAAACATACTGAGTCTCAGAAAAGTAAAGAAAAAAAATCAAAAAACTCAAGTGGTATTATTAAATTCTCCCAAGTAGTATGTCTGAATTCTCGTTTTAAGATTTCCAGTTTAACAATGCAATACTACTCAGCAATCAAAAGTTAATAACATGGATACAGTTAAAAAGGGATTATGACTTATATGAAATAAGTCAGAAGGAAAAAGAAAGATACCAGATGGTTTCACTTATAGGAGCAATGTAGAAGATAAAAAAAAAATGTAAACACAACTATAAATCAGAGCCATTTTGCAGGGGGAGGGAAGGGGAAGGGATCAAAATGAGGGTGGGATGAACACAAAGGACTATGGTGGTAGTGGTAATTCTATGGGGACTAATCTGAGAAAAGCAAGCAAACATTGTACAAAAATGAACAATGATGTAAAATGTAATAAATAAATCATTTATTTTTATAAAATCACATGGGGAAAAAATAGATGCAGAGCAATAAAGCTGTCTTTTACGTTTAAGACTCCTGACTTACAGAAAAGTGGCAAGTAAGAAAATATCCAAAGCTGTTTTAATAGTATAGAGGACAGTGATGGTGACCTAATAGACTACTATATAAGTATATAAACATTTGGGAAAATTACATATATTTTAAATCAGTACAAGGAAAGCTTGCTGATGGACTAAGAATGGGCTAATTGGGAAAGAAGTTAAGGATAAGTTCTAGTTTGGTCCTAAACCAACTAAAAAATGGAGTTGTCACGTCATGACTTGAGGAATGAAACAAGGGGGTTTTGAAAGAGCAGTGTTTGGGAACCAGATGGGGAGAAATCAAGAGTGTGATTCTGATATGTTAATGTGAGGTGCCTATAAACAACCAGGTAGAAACGCAATGAGTATGTTTTTACATATATAAAAAAAATAGGATTATCAGTGTTATCTTGGGGGGAAGTCGTCATATTGTGTTTGTGAAAGATAAAATTAAGTATCATACATGTTAGACACATAAAAAGTTGGTCAATTTCAAAATTAAGGAATACCCATGTCACACCTTTCTAGAACATTTGCTTTGCTATGTAGAAGTCAAGTTGAGCTATGTAAGCACATTTTCTTTTAAAAAATTTATTTGTTCAGTAACTATGCAAGTTACAAGGTAAGATTTAAAGCAACTGTTCTTTTCTCCCACTCTGACTCTGGTGAATTCTCTCTCTCACACACACACACACACTCCCCTCTCCCCAGCCTGTACGTACACCTATTCTTGTATGCGTAAATAATCTTTAAAAAAAAAAAATTAAAGTAGGTACAAAGAAAATCATGCTTACAAACCAAAGGCCAAAGGAGCTACAATTTAGTAAAGGATTCATAAATATAATCAATATAGATGAAATCCAAACATCAACTGATGAAGATAATTTAAGGATGGCTTTTTTCTTTTAACAAGGTCTGGAAATGAGTTCATGTAAATGTAAAACTGACAGCATGCCACAGTACACAGTAAGAGCTAACTAAAGCTGTTTACCAGTTTTTAAATGTTTCCTTGTATATTATGAAGTACAGAATAAAAGTCATGAGTTTCTCACCAATTTTGCTAAAGGTGAATATGCAAGGCTGCAGAGATTGGTGTCCTGAAGAAATGTCTAAAGGGCTTCACTTTTCTTTTCTCAATACCTTCCCCTTTTTCCTAACCACCATGGTAAATATGAGTGGTGATTCTAACCCCCACACCATATTCTGTCATTCATCAATTATTATCAGACAGGGCAATAAGGAGACATTATTTATTACCAGACAATAAATAAGGAGACTTATGAATACTAAGCCTCAATTCCCCTACCTTGTTAACAGGTGATGAGATCTCATCTTCTTGGGGTCTTTTTAGTCCCCTCTTTAAAATGCTGGTAGATGGAGAAGCCAACGGAGACCAGACACAGCGTGCCTCCATGCCACTAGGACTGTCACATGCTGACACAAGGATAGGATCAAGTTCCCTGCATTTTTGAGGAGATGCACTATTGTCTTCTGTTAGCAGTTCAGAGACAACCACGTCAGATGTCAAAGACTGTGATATTTCCTCCACTTTCTCTGAAGTATGGGGAACTTCCTGTAAAATTCCATTTTCATTTGCCACTACCACTTGATTGCCATCAAATTTTGTTTCTTCAGGTTTAGTAAATTCAGTATTTGTTTCTAAATTGGACTCAATTTTTTCTTGTCCAGTACATATCTCAAGTGTTTCAGGAACAAAGCTATCAGTTTCTATATTCAATGTTTTTGTTTCACCTTCTTCTGGCTTAGAGGTTTCGGTAGTCAGGTCCTTGCTCTCCGTTTCACTGACATGGCTCATTTTGGCAGTGTTGTCACTAATCACTATTTCTTTACCATTTTCCATTTTAACATCTATATCTTCAGGTGAGCCTGGATCAGATTCATCACTTTTTCCGTCTTGTCCCCCTGTTGTTTTTTCAGAAATCTCTATTTGACCACTCATTTTTATAGTAGTATTTTGAGGACAACTTATACTTGAATTAAATTTCTCGGTTGATGATTCTTCAGGACTCGGTTCTTTAAGAACTGCTTCAGATTCATTAATTTTTTCACTACTGTCATGTAAAGCCTCTCCAGTAAAATCTGTCCTGGCACTCTTTTGAGAGAAACTGGGTTCAGATTTATCATTTTCTACATCCAGCTCCATAGCTTCTGCTTCTTCTGGATTGACTCCATCTTTTATTTCACATGTATTTCCTTCACCATTAATGTTCTCTGTATTTATTTCTTTTTTCAAGATAGCTTCTGTCTTTTCTTCATTGCTCTCCAAAGCAGAACAACCTAGTGAAATATCTTTGGAATTACCTAAATATGAGCCAACAGTTTTACATTTTTTATTAGATGGCTCCTGGATTTCAAAAGATATCACTTCGTCAGATTTCATATCAGAGGCTTCTTTACAATTTACTGAAGGAATAGAGTCTTCACTAGTCCTTTCTTTCAACTCAGTTTCAGGTAAAATTAATGACTCATTTATGGTATCATTCTCTTCCTTGAGTCCCAAATGAAAGTTTACATTATGAGGCTCATCAGTAACATTTACCTCAGAGTGCAGATCAGCTTTAGAAGTTTCTGATACAGTTACAGGTGTTTGCATGTCTGTCTTTTTTGCTGCATTGCTCTTTACATCATAATTTTCTGTGCTCTTTAATCCAATGAAGGACTTTTCCTGAGGTTGTGACTTTTCTCCACAGCAATCACAACCCTTAGATCTCCTTACCCTCTTACTTCTCTTGTGTTGGCATTCAAGACCTTGGGGGGGTTTTTCAGAAAGCAAAGAAATGTCTGATGTTCCTATTTTGGAAGCTTCTCCTATACTGTTATTTTCTACAGAATCTCGTTTATGTAACCTTTTATTGGCATTTCTAGTTCTTAGATTAGATTCAGATATAGGAGGATGTGAAGGAGAATTCTCTATACATTTGTTAGGTTTATTTTTTCCATCATCTGTATTTAATACATTATCAGAATGTTGCAATAAAACTGGAGATACTGTTATATCATTAAGAATTATAGTATTACTTTCTTTTTCTTCACAAATTGGAGACTTTATGTCTGTGTCTAATTCAGTACATGATTTATAATCATGTATCAGATTTTCCACTTTTACACATTCCTGTTTTACTATTTTCTCTTGATCTTCAATATCAATACTATCACTGCTTTTGTTTTTCCATTTTCCAGATCTCTTCTTTCTAGAACCTTCTTCTCTTGCCTCAGAACTATCAGATTCTGAGTTTTCAATGCTGGAAAGTAAACCCTGGGAAGCTCTTCTTGTTTGATACCGTGTTCTTCCCCTTACTGGCTTCTCAGAAGACTTATCTGCAATGTCCTGGACATTATCTCCCTCAGATTTAATATTCTCGCGGTCTGGATTTCTTTCATTTTCTTCAGTTTCAGCATTAGTGCTGGTTTCCCCAAAATTCTTCTCATGTAAATTATTTCCTTTCTCAATTAAATTTTCCTGTACCATTTGCTCAGAAGCCGGTTTTTGCTTAGGTAACACATCATCTTTTATGTGCAATGGACTCTTCTGAATCGTCTTTTCATCTTCCTTACGTCTTTCCTTTTTTTGCTGATTTTCTTTATCTTGACTACCAGTGGTAGGTTCTGCTATTTCTGAACGCCGCCTTAAAGATCGTCTAAGGGTTTTCTGATTTGGAGTTACCTGAACATGACTGTCCTCATTTACTGTTTGATCTGCTGGTTTTAAAGCTGGTGGAGTATTTTCTTTGGATTCCAAATTAATTCCTACAGTTTTCTCTTCTACAGTATTATTTTGTAATACAGCACTTTCCATTGTTGGTTTAAGCACTGTGTTCTCATAGTCCACTGTAGATTCAGAGAAATAAGTCTGATTATCTAGCACACATTCTGCTTGATTAAGTAACCCAGGTGGATTATTTTCTAAGACTATCACACCATCAACAGATTCCTGGGTATTTTGTTCCTCATCAGATCTCATTAAGGACTTAGACCTTTTATTCCCAGTTTGTTCAGCTTTACTTGCTCTCCTACCTGATCTCTTAATTCCATGTACTCCTCTTTCAGAATCAGATTTTGAAAGAGTCATTTCTTTTTTCTTGGCTTTTAGTGGAATATCTGTTTTAGCTGTGACTTCCTGGTTATTTTTCACTGCAATAGCTGATGACATATTATTTAAGGGGGATGGACTAAAAGGTCTATTTTCTGAACCATCAAACTTCTCCAAAGTAATAAAGGTTTGCCTTCGACTTGTAGGCTGTGGGGGATGATTTCCCGAGATGGTGGCAATAGAAACTGAGCTACTGCTGACACAAGAAGTACTTTCTGCACTAGATGTACATTCAGCTGATTCTTTCTTTGATGAAATTAAAGCCTTTTTTCTGGTATTATTATTGCTCATGATTTCAAGGTTGGTTTCCTCAATAGAACCAGACTCATTACTTGAAAGGGAAGCCTTTTCAAGATGTTCATCCATACCACGTTTTTCCGGGACATCTTGAGGAATGACATTGTCACTCTCCATTTGTTCATCCTGCACAGAAAAGTAAATACAAATTAACAAGCAAACAAGTCTGACTTCTTAGGGAAATTTTAGTGTACTACTTTACTAATTCAAAACACCACACACTGATTTCCAGTATTTTATAAATGTTCCAAAGGCAGTAATAGATTATTTGCATTCCTAATTAAAAATAGCCAATAAAAGTCAAATACTTTTTAAACACTCAAAGGCAATAATTCTACTAAAGCATTTTAGTAAGAGTAGAGATTATACAAGAAATCTTAAAAGAATCTCTATAATAGAAGGTTAATGGTAACCCCAAAGTCCCAAAATATAAAATATTTTAAATATACCTTAAAGATCATCTTGGAATCTTCCTTTGATTTTTCAGTTGAAGGACTTTCCCTGAAATAAGTGTGTAAATTATAATACTGCTTCTGTTTAAAAATTAGAAAGCCAGTAATTCCAACAGCCTCCATACTTACATTGACTCTTCCTGATTATACTGAGAAAATAAAGTATCTTGAGAGACATCCAGATTATTATACATGGCAGGAATATCACACCTGAAAAAGATTTTATATGTAAAATATGAAAGTCTGATATTCCTACAATTAGAAATTATGCCCCTAACTCTGCATCTAATTATGCATGTTTTAAGAACATAATGTAAAATCAATGTTTAGATGATGTTTTTCTGTAAAACCCATTTTTTTCTATTGTCTCCTATATTACAGCTCAATAATTCAGTTTAGGAACAGTTGTAACATTACTAGGTAGCCCTATATATTACAAAATGTAGTTAAGATGTATTTCTTTTGGTATTAAAATCTAGCACACACAATGTTTTAATTCTGATACAAAGTCTGTTGGATGACATCTAAATGTGAATTCAGAAGTCAACTCAAAATAAAAGGACTGCTGACCTTTTTGTTTTGAGTACTTCTTTCTGATGTTCAGTTAGTATTCTCTCTTTTGCATCTTTTCCTTCTGGTGGTATAAACACAAAGTCAGTAGACTTTTCTTCTTCCAAAGGCATATCATTCTTTATTTTTGGAGATGTAGATTCTATTTTCAACTGAAAATCAGAACAAATATACAAAATGTACATTTGAGGTTCCAAATTCTTTTCTAGCATTCTGATAAATCACTCTTCTGGCACTGATATTTTGAATAATGACAGAAAGCTTAATTACAGACCCTTACAATACTCACAGATAACAATGACTACATCTACAATTTCTGCTTCTGATAAATATTCAGAAATAAAGCTTTTATTTCTTTAACAATTACTACATTCCACAATTTCTGCTTTTGATATTCAGAAATAAAAACTTTATTTCTTTAACAAGGCATGTGAATTCTTACCATCAGAGCAAAAATTTTTTTAAACTGACACATAAAACTCAAGTGGTTCGACATGGGGAGTAGTTCTCAAATGCAGCATAAATTAGTCAAAGTAAAAATTGCCAAAAAAAAAAAAATAGGCTTTGCATACCAATATATTACTATTTGTAAAAATTTTCCTGATTTTCTTACTGAAAGACTTTCAAAGTTAAACTCTAAAAAAATAAATACCTTAGATGATAATAGTTTCTTGTTTTCTTTTATATCCTTTGTTTGTGACAAAAATGAGTCTCTTTTTCCACTTGATTTTCTTTCCATGCCACTTATCTTGATATTTAATTGTGAATTTTCTGTCTGTTGTATATAAAAAATAAAACACTCTCAGTAAATGTTCTCTTACATGCTCTTTTTATTTTATAAGTTCCAGTGTTAAGTATACTCATTTCAAATTTGATTATTTAAACCTATTAAAATAATTCCAAGAAAGGAAAATTGTCTTGTAACATATTAACTTGTCCCTCGAACTTAACACAGTTGCTATTTAACAATTTGACTTTCTGAAAATACTACAAAAATGAATCAAATAACTAGATTTAAATAGCTCTCTCTATAATTAATGTGATTATTTCTAAATAAACAAAGCCAATAAACATGAATGACACAAAACATTATCACGTCCCTCTCAATAGAATATATGGCTGGGTTACACTAAATTGCTGTTACACTAAATATTGCTGTGTTACACTAAATTACACTCAACAAGCCTGAACTGTAATAATTATTTTGATAGCTTTCTTTTAGAGATAATTCAAACTAGAGAATTTAGGTAGCTATATCTTTTCTTTTGGTCTTATGAAAACTATATATTAATAATAAAAAAAAGCCAGCTTGACTCTAATTGTTCTTTAACAGAAAAAGTGTCTTAGGATGTGCAAACATCTTAAGATGTAGAGTGCCCACATCTTTCACTCCTCCATCTTTAGAATAATAAAGACTTATTAGCCAAAGCAACTTTTGCCCAAACAGGTGATGCGATATGTTTCTTTTTTACAGGATGAGATCTGATGGTGAAAAAAAAAAATACTTGGACACATAACCATTATTCCCAATTTATCTAAACCAACACTGAGCCATATATTTTACCAATTATAATTTTTAAAAAAGATTTATTTATTTATGCACTACAGAACTGGGGTAAAGGGCAGAGGTGCAAGGGCATGAGAGGATTCACCAGAGATAGACTGGGGAGCAAAACAGGCTGACTGACAAAGTACACTGCTGAGGGCAGCAGAGCGCAGGTCAGGAGAGGTCTACCGCACTATGTTGGTCACCTCCAGGACTCATTGGGAATCAAACTCATGCTGAAGTGGCTTTAGCTTCTTAGTGCTGTGCTTTAACCTGCTGTGCCACCAGGGAGGGCCCATACAATTATAATTTTTTTTTAAAGATTTATTCATTTATTCATGCAGAACTGGGGTACAGGCCAAAGATGCAGAGGGTGAGAGGATTCACCAGGGAGAGTGGGGAGCAGAACAGGCAGATCGACGAAGTACACTGCTGAGGGGAGTAGCGGGCGGGTCAGGAGAGGTCTGCCACACCATGTGGATCTCCTCCCAGGCAGGCGGGAATCGAACTCATGAGGAAGTGGCAGGAGAGGTCTGCCACACCATGTGGATCTCCTCCCAGGCAGGCGGGAATCGAACTCATGAGGAAGTGGCTTAGGCTTCTTAGTGCTGTGCTTTAACCCGCTGCGCCACCAGGGAGGGCCACCAACAAAAGACCAGGGAATCAGATATTAACGTAAGAATCTGGTGAAATCTTAAATATATTTAGGTCAGACAATTTACTACATGGAAAAGTGTTTGTACATTTTAAAATTACAATGAAACATAGCAAAATATGCAAACATTATTGAAAAGTAAAAAAGCCAAACTTACAGCATCTGAATATGGTCCACTGGATTCTTCCATGATTTCAACATTTTCCAACCCAGGTAGCAAAAGCACAGATTTTTCTTTCACTTGTCTTAATACTGGTCTTTGGAAAAGTACAAATATATATATTTTTTGAGTCAAGCAGCATTGACAATACTGATGATCTATCAGTAAAAACACTTCATAATTTTTTAAGTGCCAAAATACTGCACCTTAAAGACTTCATTATTCTATATCCTACATACACAAGCTTGATGCATATGGGTAAAACTTGCATAAAGTTCTCACATTTTCTTAAAAACTTCACATTTTACAGATTTTTATCACAGAAAATTTCAAACAAATGTAGATCATTTACAATAATTACTTTTGTATACACCATCGAGACTTAAGAAAATAATATCCTGCACTTGATTCTTTTATTAAGAATAATTTAATATTCTTGTTACTAATTAAGTTACTAACTAAGTTGTTTCTAAAGTTTCTTGTTTCTAAAGTCAGATTATTTTAAGGACAAAAGCAAAATGTCAAATGGTGCTACTAATCACTATGAACTACAAATAATACATATATTTTAATTTTTGCGCAGAGCTGGGATGCAGGCTAGCAGCGCAGGGATGAGAGGATTCACTAGAGACAAGAATGGGGAGCAGAACTGGTACAGCAGTTCTGGTTACTGAAATTGGGGAGCAGTGGGTAAGACAGAAGAAGTGTGCTGTGCCATATGAGTTAGTTCCTGCCAGGGGATCAAACTCAGGCCAAAGCAGCAATGGTGCCGAGACTTAATTTCTAGGCCACCACGGAGACCCCAAATAGTATTTCAACTAAGGGAATCTTCTGCAATGATGCATCATAAATTTATTAAAACCAAAATATCAATTAACATGTTTGTAATAATATAGTTGTATTTAAGTTTTCTTATTAGCATACTTTAACTCTTCAGGATAAATCAACGCTGTTTCTTTGGCAAATGTGGCATTCCATAACTGAGCACTCTGTTTTCGAATCTGTTTACTCTTGTGCAAAAATATTATGCATAATAATGGAGAGATATGTTCAAGAAGTTCACTGTCGTAAGTTCCAGTATAGCTGAAGTGTAAACAAGCTATAATTTCTCCCAGCAGCTTTTCTAACTAGGAAAAAGGAAAAGTTTGTTAGCCTAACATTTGGAAACCTTAACTTTATTTAAAACAGCACAACATAAAAACACAAACATACCAAATTTGACAATGTATAGACTATATTACTATTGACTTCTAGAGATTCTACTTTTTTTAAAACTCCCATCTGTCACCTTAAATATATATCCTTTTTTATAAACTGACAAATTACCAGGAGAATGTACCTTGCATACAGATACTATACTTGATTACAAGCTCATTTTTCATTACTTGTATTTGCATTTAACAACAATAAAATGTTAAAAGTTGCCTGCTCAAGTTTTAACAAAATGAGCCAACTACTTTTTATAGACCAAATAAGTTGATGTCTTATATATAAAGTTAAAAGGTAAAATTATTAAACCCTTTAAACTATTCTTTGACTATATCCTTGTCATACAAAAAAAAATGTTCATGAAGATGGAAGCACAATAACCCTTTTTAAAAATAATAGTTACTATGTAAGGAAGACAACTATCAAAACTCCAAGTTTTAATATTATTCAACATTTTCCCCATCATGTTTTATGTATAATTGTCTTGTTTTACCTTGTTGTTCATACAACTATACACTTTAGGAACTTCATCAAGCCTAGGAAGAAAAACACATAGAATGCCATTTATACTTTAGGCTATACTTTATACTTTAACACTATAGGCTATCAAGCTAATCCTAAGGCTACTGCAGTGTAATACAAATGAGACATGTACAGTAATATAAAATTAGGTGCCACAAGACTTCATCAAAATAGGTTCAATTTTCAAACATTAAGAAACAAAACCACTTCTTAAAAATCAGAGAGAAAAAATTATGGAATAGTAGTAATAGTTTTTTCCTGTATATTTTTTTTTTGCATTTTCCTGTATATTTTTTAACAGCATGGATATTATTTTTGATAAAATACACGCCATAAAGAATATGCAAAGGTACTGAATTTGGATGCCTATATTGTATTTATAAAGTCTGTTCTTAAAAACATTGCCTGCTAATTTGCCTGTCAAAATACAGGTCATATCAATAATCACACAAGTTTGCTGTAAGAACCCTGAGGAACCCTTTCAAAATGTACATTTGGGATTTTTCAGGTTTTGTAAAAGGCGCTGTTTTCTTCAACTCAGATTTTAAGGATAACATAAATTACTACAAAATTCTGGAGCCAGTAATTTAAATGTCTATTCTTTGAACCAATAATTTTATGTCAAGAACCTTGTTCTACAAAAATAGCAGCAAATGTGCACAATGATTTGTGTATAATTATCTTCAATTGTAATACTGTCAGTTTCAAGGGAGAACTCAACTAAGGTTACACCTACCAAAGGTATCAAGTGAGTAAACGTTTATGGAACCCTATGAAAACTTATAAATAATGAGATTCTTAGGTGTAATATGTTAATATTTAATTGCAAAGAGTATGTCAAGCATGATTTCATGCACATCAAACATTTAATGAGTATGTCTGTATAAACAAATCTGAAAATATGCAATAAACTGAAAAGGGGGTTGGACTAGCATCAAAATAAAAGGAGTTTCAATTTCCACCTCTGTTCGTTTGTTATTTAAGGAATCTTTTAACTAAAGCAAAACTGAATATATTATCCTCTGCAGCAAACTATAAAAGATTACTACCCACTACAACAAAGGTGACAGGAAAACAAGAGTTTGCTACCTACATCTAAAGCATAGACATTTAATTCAAAGCTGTTACACCCAAAATAACTTACTTTATGTTTTCATAAAATAGTGCCAGTGGTCTTGTTAATGTTGCAAATATCTTTCGGATCATTGAAGGCAAAGAAATATGTCCAAGTACAGTGGAAACAATACTGGTGATTGACTGGCCGACAGTGAGTAGAGTATCAGAATGTATTTCCTTTAGGCTCACAGTGTGGAAAGAATGGATCACTCTCACAATAAGTTTAAATAATGAAGCCAATTTCCCTAGGGGCTCCTTCTTTTTGGACCAATCCGAAGGTCTCTGTGGTGCTAAGATAAAATTGAATTTATTAAAAACTCAAGTATTCTGAAGCAAGTCACTGTTCAGCTTACCATTTTTATATATTCATCACATTAAATGTTAAAATTTATCTAGTACATGTTTCTAGAGAATGTCTTAAAAATGACATACGATTAGAGGATAAACATCACTGTAATGTTACCTTTAAAATATAATAAAAAACACAGGAAAATTGCACAACTTAAGAAAAATTCCAGATAATTTTGTTTTCTCTAAGGAATTATAAAAATGCATTTTAAATTTCTCAGTTTTTGAAATGTCAACAATTTGTAGCAAAGTACAAAATTATGAAGAAGTTCCAAAGCGAAATTCTTTCTTTTTAAAGATTTTATTTTTTGCATCGAAGAACGTGGAGACGAGGTTTGGGGTGTGAGAGGATTCCCGAAACAGAGTGGGGAGAGAACAGGTGGATTTGCTGAAATACAATGAGGGGAGAAGCAGGTAAGAATGGAGAAGTCTGGGGTACCATATGTGAATTAGCACCCTTGGCAGAGGTTGAACTCAGGCTGCAGATGTGGATATGTTGGGACTTAACCCTAGGCCACCTGGGAAGGCCTAAGTTTTATTTCTTTGTCCAATTTTATTTATAGAGGTAAGTAAGTATACATGTTTGTACTTGTTCTGGGAGTTAACTAGTTCAAACCTCTATAAATGTACTTTCATGCTCTGCATACCATAAGTGCCCCAATAATCTTTCCCCCTTGTTCTACTGGGCCTCCTCCCTCCTGTACTCTCAACCTAACATGTCTGTCCTTCCCTTCTGGTTGTTTCAGTTTTGCAGTCAGATCTTAACAGTTTATTAGTTTTGTTCTGACTGATCCTTTGTTATGTTTTTCTATAGTACTCCACATAAATGCAACTAGTCTGTGTATCCTTCTCCTTCTGTCTTATTTTCCTTAGCATTGTCCTCTCCAGTGCCATCCATGCTGTTGCAAATTAGAAACTAAAATTGTGCTTGTAAATTAAAATTTAAATGTCTGTAAAGTAAGAAATATTCCCTTAAGAAATTATTACTCCCTGGCTTTTCTATAATTCATCAAATCTACATATACCAATGAACAAGTCAGAGATCCAAATCATCACAAAGAACAAGAAAGAAAATGTACAGATTTAAAGAAAAAAGCAGTTAATTATAATAAGTACTGTATAATTTTCCTTTGTACCCATGTTAGACTGTACCATTCCTCTTTCCAGATACCTAAATCACTGATACAAAGAGATGGGAAAAGCAATTAGTATTAGTTGTTATTAGCCTTGACAATAGTTTTGACAGTTAAATGTTGAGTGGACAAATAAAGATTCAAAAAACACTTACATTTAACTTTGGGCTGATATTTAACATTATATGGGGAGAAGTCGATGCAATCAACCATTATAGTAATAACATGAATAATCCTATCCAAGAACAACAAGTTCTAGGGAAAAAAAAATGTATTAGAAATGTTCTACTGGCATAGTTTTCAGAAATAATAAGCATCAACAAAAGATGGAAGGTTATATTCACACATATACCATGAACACACATCATGGCATATAACATAAAGTACATCAAATATATTTTAGATATTAAAGTTCCAGGTACTTTCTTCTTCGTTACAATTATAAGGCAAAGGATGCCTTTAACTATAGTTTGGTATCAAAGCCAGAAAAACAGGCATTCTTTTCTGGTTTAGGAAACATATTACAGTTATCACTACTGCTGAACAATCAGTTATTAACAAATACATACAGTCATGAGGGAAACAAGTACCACGAAGACAGAGTACTAAATACCAAATGAACCAATACATGAGGCAAGAACTAGTAACTGTAATCATAATCACTTATAATATTAAATGTAAAAACAAAACCACTCTTTTAAACTATAGTTAAACTGCAAGGGATGCATACAGAAATATTAAGTTTCCAGAAAGCAGTACCATAACCAAACACAAATATACACAGAGAAAGGAAATTTAGGATCACAGAAGATAAAACTCAAAATGTCTAAAACTGACTTGGCATCTTAAAAACAGGACCAAGGAATAACAATATAACAAGGCAATTTTCCTAAGATAGGGAAATAGATAGTCCTTTAAGGGGAAATGGTCTATAAAGTACTTAAAAGAATAACCTAAAAAGATCTCCCAAAATAAACCCTGTGTTTAAATTCCAAGGAGTATAGAAAAATCCTAAAACTTTATAGAAAAAATTAGTATAAAAGAGGCTCATATCAAAACTGCACATTTGTAAGAGCACAAGCTATTGCAACAAATGAAAAAAATCTTTAAAATCTTTTGATATAAAAATCATAACCAATGAACTTACTAGGAAATATCACTTATATATCAAGACAGAGTAAGTTTGGCAACAAAGAATTCAGTGAATCAAAATAAGGAATAAAGAATGGCTATCAGGAATAAATTTCAGCTACAAAATATCTTCAAATTTTAAACAAAATACTGTCTAAGCTTTATGTTACCCTGTGTAGTAATATAGTAACTGCAACTAAAATTCAGACATTTAAGCAAGTGTTGCTTAAAAATAATTTGTGTACTGTTATCAATGTCCCTGGAACATTAACTCTTCAAACTTGACACATAGAAATTATGAACTAGCTAAGAAATAAATTAGAGATGTAGTACAGAAAGCTCTTAAGTAGAAAGCTTAATTAAAATATAAAAAGAGAAAAACAAAGCAATAAAGTTAAGGAGTCGAGGAATTGAATATATTCTTTTTAATTATGAATGAGAATTAAATACATTAAAACACCAATCCCACATTTACTTACATGCTACATAAAACATTGAAGGGTTAAAATATATTGGTCTAAGTATATACAAAAACCCTAAATCTACAGAATGGAATAATATATCATAAAAATGAATGAACTCAACAAAACATAAAATAGAAATATCTTTTTTTAAAGAATTATTCATTTACTTAGACATACAGAACTGGCCAGAGGTGCAGGGGTGGTGAGAGATTCACCAGAGACAGAGTGGGGAGCAAAACAGGTAGATCAACAAAGAACACTGCTGAGGGGAGCAGCGGTAAAGTCAGGACAGGGCTGCTGCACCATGTGGATCACCTCTGAGGCTGGGATCAAACTCGCACTGAAGCGGCTGCAGCTAGCTTGCAGTGCTGCGTCCTAATCCACTGTGCCACCAGGGTTAGTGGGTTAGAAACATCTTAAACACTGGCTCAAAAAGACACACAGTTATCATTTTATTTATTAAAAAAAAAAATCAAACAACAGGTAATGCTAAACAAGTGCATATAATGTGTGTGTGTAATAAAATATATTTTAAAAAAAACAAATGATTATTAAACAACTCAAGGTTCTAATTCACCTTTTCTGGACAGATTATTTTGAGTCAAAATACACATGCAGCACTTCTGAGATGCTGATTATGCTCTAGTACTAGTTACACAAGTATTTCATCACAATTTGTTAACTGCACTGTTTTATGCAATTTTCTTTATACTGTTCTGCATGTAAGCTGTTTTAATGAAAAAGACATTTTTAAGTGGTGTAATTATTAAGTTCAACTTTGTAAAATTTAACAAAAAGACAATACTGGGTATTGGGCTCTCCCTGTTAGTGTAATGGGCTAAAGCACAGCACTATGAAGCTACCACAGCCACTGCAGCACAAGTTCAATCCCAGCCAGGGGGGAGACCAATATGGTGTGGCAGACCTCTCCTGACCCACCTGCTGCTTCCCTCAGCAGTGTACTTCAGTATATCTGCCTTTCTGTCTCTGGTGAAGGCTCTCACCATCCCTGTACCTCTGGCCTATACCCCAGTTCTGTATGCACAAATAAGTAAATCTTTTAAAATAAATAAAATAAAAAGCTATTACATATTTAATGCAATAACTATATCACTTATTAACTAAAAGCAGCATGGCAATTCACAAAATTATCTCCATTTACTTGAAAAGAACAAACACAAAGATCAGTATGGATACAAACTTACTTCGAAGACTTCAGCTTCCAAATTGGACATTATCTTGGAAGAAAGCTCCTCACAACATAAATTCTCTTCTGCTGTTGCCACCAAAGCTGCACATCGGGCAAATGCTCTATATAATTCTGACCAACTTCTAAGTAATGTCTTCATGGTGGCCTAATAATAACAAAGACACTTCTGAAACATGCCTTGACCTTATCGAACACCCATCAAATGTATCTCAACACTTTTTAACACTTTATGTTCAAGATAATCAAAGAAATGAGAAAGTATGTGGTCTCTGGCTCTCAGTAAAATTCTAATTGAGGGCCTTCCTGGTGGCTCAGTGGGTTCAAGTGCAGCACTATAATGCTGTCCAAAGTCACTGCAGCAGGAGTTCCATCTCTGGCCAGGGAGGTGACCCACATGGCATGGCAGGCCTCCCTGGAACCCACTGGCTGCTCCCCTGAGCAGTGAATTTCACTCAATCTGCCTGTTCTGTTCCCACTCTGTCTCTAGTGAGTCCTCTCACCCCTGTACCTCTGGCCTATATCCTAGTTCTTGTATTCATAAATAAATCTTCCAAAAAAAAAAATCTAATTGAAGAATTTTAATAATGTTGCTGTGCACCATTAATCCACCAGCAATGATTAAACATCAAGAGGAATGTCTCCTTCCTTTGTCTACTTTGCTTTCCCCTATAATAAAATCAAAGCTACCCTATTTTAGAAAAGAAAAAAAAAAAAACCCTGTAGTTTATAAGTAAAGGATAACATTCAGGAAAATGCAAATTACCAAACAAAAATTTGACACTGTCTTACCAGTGGAAATTTCTGTACTGAAAAAATATGATTTATTGGTAAAGTCAATGCACCGTAGATGGCACTAAAATTATGTTCTAAGGCATCACCTTGATTCACTTCATTGGTCTGAAACAAGAAAAAATAAAGTTAAGCAAGTTACCATTAATTCCAGTTATAAATAATAATATTTTACTATGCATAGAGTAGAATTGTGTCCCCTGATATTGAGTTGCCCAAGAGATGGTGAACTCCTAACTCTTGATAATGGTAAATGACAGTATTTGGAAACAGTCTTTGCAGATATAATCAAATAATAAAGAAGTTATAATGGAGCAGAAAACTAACATCTTTTTAAGAAATGGAGAATTTTCATAGACAGAGGAAACACAAGGACAAATGCCATGTTAAAATGGGGACTGAGATAAGAGTGATCCCTCTACTAACTAGCCGACATCAAAGTAAATGACAGGCATAAAACATTCTCTCCAGAGCTCCAGAAAAACCAACACTGCCAACACACTGATTTTGGATTTCTGGACTCCAGATTATGAGAAAATTGCTGGTGTTTTAAGCCACTGGCTTATGATAATTTGTTACAATAAGCCTGGAAAACTAATGCAGTGTTTGTATGTCTTAAAAAGAATCCCTGGGCCCTCCCTGGTGGCGCAGTGGGTTAAAGTACAGCACTGAAAGGCTAAAGCCACTTCAGCATGAGTTTGATACCCGCTCGCTCTGGAGGTATATCACATGGCGCAGCAGACCTCTCCTGACCCAACCGCTGCTCCCCTCAGCAGTGTACTTTGTCAGTCAACCTGTTCTGCTTCCCATTCTGTTTCTGGTGAGTCCTCTCATCAACCCTACACCTCTGGCCTGTGCCCCAGTTCTATATGCATAAATAAATAAGTCATAAAAAAAACCCCAAAGGTAATTAATCTTTTACTCTACATAAATAGTACTCAAGCAAGATCTTAAGAGTGCCTCTGCTAGCCTTTACCTTTTAGGAATGTAAATGTTTTTCCTTCCAAGACTATCTGCTTAAAGATGTACTGGCTTAGAAGCAAAATAAGGGTCATTGCACTAGCACTGAATCCCTTGATGTTTTCACCTATTCCAGAGTTAAAGAATTATTTCCTAGCAATAACTTTCACTTAAAGATAAAGCAGCTGAGAAGTCATTTAATATCAAAACAAGTTGAGCTGTACATCATGCTAGTATTGTCCCTCTCCTAAATATTTAAATTACAGATTACTGGATTAGGAACTAGAACATCATAGGTGACTACCAAAATGATTTGAGCAAGAGCACCTAGATTATACAGCCCAGTCAAGATTACCATTACTATTCTCTCTTCACTGGAAAAAAAAACAAAAAAAAAAAACCCAAGAAATAAATACGAGAATTTATATATAGGTTATAGTCACTATTGCAGGAAATGGAACTAATTAGTTCCAAATACATCACGTGTTCTTGAACAATGAGGTTGAAATGAAATGAGAAAAGCAGCAAACCAGATGAGTAGAAAATTTACCAACCCACAAGAAGATAGCCCTTAATTTCCTGTTTAAGTTGAAAAGTCTATTCATTTCCCATTCAATCAAAAAACGAAACAAAAAAAAGGAGGGGGGAAGGGAGGGAGAAATATGTAGCATATATGTCATACCTGGTTAATTAATTCGGTTAATGGGGTAACTATAATACTCCACATTCTCCAGAGATGCTCCATGTTTTCCAACTGCTTTGCACTTTGATTAATAACATTTAAAACAGAGTCACTGAAAGCTAGTGGTGAAGTTGGACCAGAAAGAACACAGCCTACAAGTACTTCCAGGTTGAGAAAAAACCTGCAAAAAATTTTTGAACTATGCTTTAACTTAATTTTGGCCCAATTAAACTACATGCAATAAAATATTAAGCCATGCTGCAAAGAAATAATGAATTCTAGGTCTGTAATTTTTAAAAATTTTTTATGATACATACATTCAGAAGAATCTCATTCATAACAGCCTTTTCAAGATAAACATAACATGTTTCAGTTTAAATTACCTTTGATCTTCTATACCACATTCCAAGAGATTATTGTTGAAAATTAACTGAATTAAGAACAATGCAGGAGTTCCCTGAAGAAAGATGAAGACTGCAGTCAATTGTCTTGTTACCAAAAAAAAAACCTTGTTATATTTGTTTTCTACATCAATTATGTAACATATGGTCCCCTTTTAATAACAGAAATTTAACTTTTGAAAAGTGATAGCAAATGCATTTCCATAAATCACACAGAAATATTGCTGTTTCATCCACATGAATGATTGGGAAACAGTAAATTAACTTGAACTTAAAAGTTAAAATTCAGTTAAGCCATCTGTTTGTATCCTACAATTATTAAATACATTTCACATAATTAAGACAATGTCACTAAGTATCCAAATGTATTAACAGTATCCAGCAATATTAAATATTACTGTATATAGGTTAACAGAAAACCTTCCAGAACCCTTTGCTTAATACAGGAAGAGTTCCATCAACCCATTTTTCTTATCATTGTCTCCCTTTAATATAATCAGCATCTCCAAACTGAACTGTCACATTTCACACTCTTACTATTTTAAGTAAGTGAACTATCATGGAACTTCTTTTTTCAATTTAATTTTAATTAAGTCACTACATTTAAGATACTTGCATTAAGAATATCCATATTAGCAACCTGATATGCCGGTGAACCTAGAACTTTCTCAGGAAGTCCTTTAATTGTAATCTCCATGAGAACCTAAAAAAGATAAGTGGTATACTGTACATTAGCCATAAAACAGCAATCTACTTAGTAAAAATCTAGTAATATAATTGTTTGATTCATATGTAAAACAAATGCCATGAATACATTTGTATTAGTCTAGAAAGTTAAAAAAAGAAAAATAATTAAAATAACAGTCCTCCTTTCAGTCAATGCTGATTGGAGTTTTCCTAATCTCCAGAAATATATGTGCACAGAAAAACACCAGTTTCTAAGTTACCACAAGCTACATATTCTTTCATATCACTGACTTCATATTGTGAAATCCTCTGGAACCCTTCATTCAACTGTGGCAGGAGTTTTCATACATCTATGTAGACACATCATCAATTGCTATAATAAATGTGCAGCTCATTCAAACATATTCCTGGATAGGAGGGAACTCTGAGACATCTGTCACATTTGCTGACCTGGTGAGCTAAAGCAGATGTCTCACCATTCTTCCCTTACTGTTCCATATACAATCCCTCCTGAAGCTTCATGTTCAGAGATGGAAGACGGCCTTCCCCAAATAGAGATGGACCGTTACTCAGTCAAGGATATGCCAAGTAGCTACACTCTCCTGGTAGAACTTTCAAACAAACCTGCAAATATTTAACTATTAATGGCCCTTGAGGTTTTTCTTCTTTTTAAATACTGTAAGAAATTCTACATTGAATTATGTACTCATTAGAGTCAGAAGCAGGTATTTCAAAAGACTGCTGCATAGAAACTGGCTCTAAGACAAACCTCTCAAATATGAGAGTCTATAGACTTGCCACACACAAATACTTTATAGATATTAACCTGAACTATAGTACTCAAGACATAATGGTATGACAGAGAGTAGTAGTGAAAACATTAACTCAACTTCGGGATATGGTTTTTAAAGTCTAGTGGGTAGGTACAATACTTACCAGTGTTTTCAATAAAGGAAATACTTGTGATTTGACTATACTTTCCAAAGATTTTAATAAGATGGTCAAAACTTCAGATCCTGGTCTTTCTTTTTTATTGCCTATCAAAAAGTAAAAGAAAAGTGTACTTTTTAAACTTTCTCATGGGTGAAAACACAGTATACTTTTAGGAACAAAATATATTCCTTATATATAAAATGTTTTTCATTAAATCAAAGTTATTTACTTCAAAGTAAATTATAGCCTGGAAGCTCTGACTTCAAAGATGATTCTAAAATACTTTTTATATATAAGGGCCAAATAATTTACCCTATGCTACCATCATTTGATTATCATAGTAACTTACCTGATTCAATAACCGACTTCACCAAGCTAATCAGTTTCTTCCAAATAGCACTGACAACTACATCTGTCAAACAACATGAAGTACAATTACTTTATAATAAAATAAACCATAAAGACTCCTTTCATCTTTAATCCAAAGAAATAGAGTAATACTTAACAGAATCTAATTTTCTCTGTAAAATTCAACTTTGTGATTAAATTACAAACACTATAATGCTTTTTATTTAAAAACAGATCTTGACTATAACACTGGGTCATAAAACCTAGGGTAATTCCCTTTTCCATCATCTTAAACTTCTGTATTAAATACCTATCACTTCTGAGATTAAGAATTAGATTTGTGGTGATGGGAAACCCACGGGGGTTACAATTGAAATGGGAAAAAAAAATGTACAAAATGATGTAAAAATAAACTGCTATTAAAAAAAAAAGAATTAGATTAGGAGGGATTCCTGAAAACCACAAAAAAAAAATTTCTAGCAAACTAAATAGTAAACTAAATTTTTAAAAAGGATTTATTTATTTATGCATACAAAGCTGGGGTACAGGCCAGAGGTGCAAGGGTGGTGAGAGGATTCACCAGAGATAGAGTAGGTAGCAGAACAGGCCAACTGATGAAGTACACCGCTGAGGGAAGCAGTGGGTGGGTCAGGAGAGGTCTGTCATGACATGTGATCACCTCTGGGGTAGGGATCGAACAGTGGCTTTAGGTTCTCAGTACTGTGCTTGAACCCACTGCGCCACCAGGGAGGGCCAACAAATTTTTAAAATTTCTTATTATTTAATAAGAACAGAACACAATATTTAGGTGTAAAAGCTAGAACATAGCCTGGGTTTAAATCACAGCCAACACTATGTGAATTTGCATATTACTCTTCTTTACAACAGACCTTCCTCATTAGCAAAACTTATGAGCACGGGTTACTGTGAATACTAAATGGTATACAGAAGCCTCCTCCCCCTGTTATCCAGAGGGAATACATTCCAAGACACCTAGTGGGTGCCTGAAACCAACAAGTACTGGAGCAGACAGATACTGTATTTTCCTTCCTTTCTTTCTCTCTCTCTCACTCTCTCTCTGCACATACAAAATTAGGCATAAGAGATTAACAACAAAGACAATTATAACAAGCACTATAGAAAGTAATTTATGTGAATAGTGGTTTCTTAAAATGTTTTACTGAATGTAATCTATTTTGAACCACAGTAAACTGCAGAGAATTAAAACCAAGGAACAAGAATTTGGGTAAGGAAGAGGACGCTAATACATATATGTCATGTAACATAATCTGACCCACAGGTGGCACTATGAAACATTTGCTATTTTCTTGTTAAATGCAAATAAACAAAGTTATTTACCAGAAGCATCTTTTCCAACTGCAACAAAGCTATCGTGAACCGCAGATATAAGTGTACTTGCATGTTTAGAAAAAAAAGAGGAGCTGCTAATTAATGGATGTTCAAGTGGCTCTAAAAAGGGGGAAAAAAACAATCATACATCATGCTTTACAACATAAATTCCTCAATACAAAATTTCAAATATGGGTTTGCTACTGAAAATATTTACATTTATTGATACATAACCGCAGACTATTTTGTTGTGGAAAAATAGTATCTCTCCTCACTCCAAAGTAATATATTCTGAAAAAATAATATCTCTCCTCACTCCAAAGTAATATACTCTGAACTTTAGTAATAACTATAAAAACAATTAAATACCTAAGCTCAGTACAAGTTTGTTTTGCTTGGCAAAGCTCACGACTTCTGGACCCAATAAAAAATGAAGTAACATTTCAAGTCCCAAGAGTTGAATAGAGGGAATTGTGGCCATTCCACCAAAATTTGAACTCAGGTTCAACCGGGGAGCTCCTGGTGATCCATATGGGGAAGCCCCTAAAAAACAAAATTATTAAAGTTTACACTAACTATCCAAATGGCCATATTTTGCTTCGTTTATTCCATTAAAATGTAACTCTCAAGAAAACAGTTAAATAAAGGATGAGTTTTTATTTAGAGCACATTGCAGAGTTCTTAAGTAATCTTACTAGGTTAGTGACACAAAAACTTACATGAAGATACTTCTCAGTTATTAATCAATACCTTGAAATATTAACATGCAGATATTCCTGAAACATAATTAGATTTGACTCAAAATAGCTAACAATGTATAGCAAATAATCCATAAAACGTGTTCATACTAAGTCTTAGATCTTTCTATTTGACAGTGACATCTTTAAAGACAGAGCACCCAACGCCACAATAGTGAAGGCAAAGATAAATAGATGGCACTACATCAAGTTAAAGAGCTTCTGTACAGCAAAAGAGACATTACAAAAAACAGACAGCCCACTGATGGGAAAAAATTTTCTCACACAAAAGTAGTGATAAAGGACTGATCACAAAAATATATGGAGAACTGATGAAACTCAACAAAAATAAACAACCCCATCAAAAAATGGGCAGAAGAGCTAAAAAGACACTTCTCCAAAGAGGAGATGCAGATGGCCAACAAGCATATGAAAAAATGTTCAACATCACTCATAATAAGGGAGATGCAAATTAAAACCACAATGAGATACCACCTCACCCCAGTGAGAATGGCACATCTTCAAACAACTAGCAACAACAAATGTTGGCGAGGATGTGGAGAAAAAGGAACTCTCCTGCACTGCTGGTGGGAATGCAAACTAGTACAACCACTATGGAAAACTGTTTGGAGGTTCCTCAAACTGCTAAACATGGAGCCTCCCTATGACCCAGCAATCCCATTCCTGGGTATCTACCCAAAAGACACAAAAACACTGCTTGAAAAAGATACCTGCACCCCCATGTTTATTGCTGCTTTACTTACAATTGGAAAAACATGGAAGCAGCCCAAATGGCCAAAAATAAATGACTGGATTAAAAAAATGTGGTACATATATACAATGGAATATTACTCAGCAACCAAAAAAGAGAAACACATGTCTTTTGCAGCAACTTGGATGGAGCTGGAAAAGATCATGCTTAGTAAGATAAGCCAGAAAGAGAAAGAAAAATATCAGATGGTTTCACTCATAACAGGAGTATAATGGACCAGGCGAGAAAATAACAAAAATAACAATCATATACCAGTGACATTTTGTGGGGGTGGAGTGGGGAATGGGATCAAAAACGGGGGGGTGGGAAGTGCACGGGATTATGGTGATAGCACACGGGTGACATGGTGATGGGAAACCCGCGGGGATTACAACTGAAATGGAAAAAAAATGTACAAAATGATGTAAAAATAAACTGTTATAAAATAAAAAAGTAGTTACATATAAAATCTCTTTGGAGTTATAATTTCATTATGTGGGTTTTCCTATATGTGAGAAATCTCTCTCTTAATTAATTTATTTATGCAACAAGACCTGGGACATAGGCCAGAGGTGCAGGTGGTGAGAGGACTCACCAGAGAGATAGTAGGGAGCAGAATAGGAGAAAAAAAAAATTTTTTTGTTAATAGATCTCTCATAATGTAGCTGGGGAAAAGTTTAGCATTTCCAATCATAATAATGTAGTAAACATTGTCACATAAGGAAAGCAAGTATAATGTAGTTTGTGATAAGGGCAGGGAACCAATATTATGTGCTGCATTGCAACCACCACTGAGCAAATCGTTCAATCAGTCTTGTTTTTTTTGTTAGTTTGTAAGCTTCTTACCTTTGTGTACAGGAGTGATAGGATTTAAACCTGGAGAGCTAACTGCACGAGATGAAGGGCTTTGAAGTGAAGTATTAGAATCAATGCTTATTGTGCTTTGAATCAGAGGCACACAAACCTGCAGAGGGTAAAAGAAAACTGTAAAATCTGTGTATCTCTCACTGTTTAGTAAGTCTTACATAATATAGTTAAATTATGCTAAGCGGTCTAAAAAACTCTTATTTGGTGGCACAAGTGATCTTGTTAAGGTGCAGTACTATGAAGCTATCCACAGCCACTGCAGCATGAGTTTGAGCCCAATCAAATCTACCTAATTATGCCAATGAATGTGTGAAATAGATAAAACTAGCATACTAGGACCCAGTAATGGAAAAATGATTCCAATTGCCTATTACTATAAATGCTCGATTACAACTAATTTATGGTTGCACAAATTTAAACATCTCAATATATTAAAGATTTATTAAAAATTCAAGGAAATTTAAGTCCTCCTTTCTAAAGGTACAATCACTGCTATTGTTATAAAGACTAGATGACAAGGTGGCGCGAGGGGTTAGGAAACAGCACTGCAAGATAGCCACAGCTGCTTCAGTGTGAGTTGGATCCCGGTCGGAGGTGATCCACATGGCACGGCAGACCTCTCCTGTCCTGCCACCTGTTCCCCTCAGCAGTATACTTTGTTGATCTGCCTGTTCAGCTCCCTGCTCTGTCTCCGTTAACTCCTCTCATGGCCCCTGCTCCCATGGCTGTACCCCAGTCCTGAGTGCATAAATAAATAAATCTTGGGGGGGAAAAAAGGACTAGATGACAGGGACTATAGAACCTAAATAAAATATAGCCCAAAATCCAAGATAAGAAATAAATGGAAAAAATGTAAGATCAGAGGCTATATACATAAATGAAAATAAAATTCTTTCTAGAAAACTAAGGATGTTTTATACCAGAAGCAATCCTTGAATCTAAAGGCCAACAGGTATTATCAAAATCTGAAGGAATTTATAATACAAGTATCAACAATTGCAAAATACTATGAGAGTAAATGATTACTGCTATTTAGCTTAGAAAAAAAAAATAAAGGAAAAACAAACATGAAAACCCTGCTGGGGACCCTTCCTGGTGGCACAATGGGTTAAAGAGCAGCATTCAAAGCTAGAAGCAGCCACTTCAGCACAAGTTCGATCTCTGGCCAGCAAGATGACATACTTGGCACAGCAGACCTCTTGTCTTGCCTGCTGCTCCCCTCAGCAGTGTACTTCGTCAATCTGCCTGCTCTGCTCCCTACTCTGTCTCTGGTGAATCCTCTCACCACTCCTATACCTCTGGCCTGTCCCCCAGTTCCGTATGCATAAATAAAGAAATCTTAAAAACAAAAACCCACTGGAAGGATATCTGTGTTTAGGACAACTATAACCATAACTTACAGTGTTCTGATGAAACCTTAGATGAATGGCCTCCTTGGCCAAGCATCTGTGATTTCAGACTGTCAGAATATTCATTGTATCCCTGTGGGTTTGAAACTTTCTTTAAGTTTACTGTAGCTGAATCAAGAAAGAAGACAAATGTAGATTTCTACAGAAATGAGGTTTTGATGAATGATTTTTTTTCTAGATTTATTTATTCATACAGAACTACAGTACAGGCCAAAGGTGCAGGGGTAGTGAGAGAACTCACCAGGGACAGAGTTGGGAGCAGCGGGCAAGACAGGAGAGGTGTGCTGTACCATGTGGGTCACCTCCGGGGCCAGGGGTTGAATTTGCACTAAAGTGGCTGCAGCCAGCTTGCAGTACTGGACTTTAGCCCACTATGCCACCAGGGAGGGCCTGATGAAAGATTTTAAGGAGATGAAAAGACTGGTATCTTTCAGAGTGCAAACTAATTTGGAAAAATACTTTTGAGTTGACTTTCATGGAAGTTTGCCACTGAACTGTGTTTCCTGAACTATGTAACAGGAATATCTAGGCCAAGGAAGAGATTCTTCGGCTAAACTGCTATTAAGTTAATAACAACTGATCCAATTTTCTATCTACCCACTATAATGCCTGATTTTAATTTCAGCAATGATACTTTACTCTCAATTATAATGTAAACTGCAGGACAATCCTATTAAACATCACATGGCCCTCCCTGGTGGTGCAGCACTATAAGCTAGCAGCACCCACTTCAGTGCAAGTTCAATCCCTGGCCTGGAGGTGATCCACATGGCACAGCAGACCTCTCCTGTCTCACCTGCTACACCCCTCAAGAGTGTACTTCGTCAATCTGCCTATTATGTACCCCACTTTTTCTCTGGTAAACCCTCTCACTGCTCCTGCCACCTCTGCCTGTACTCCAGTTCTATATGCATAAGTAAACCTTAAAAAAAAGAAATGAAAAAAAAAGAAAAACATCTCATATTGCTCCTAATTAAGAAAACTGATAATTATATTTGTATTGACTGAGAAGACATTAGGAGGCTCCATTTTAGGCAACTTAGAGAATATCCTTTGCAGAAGTAAACTCAAGCTTTGTGTCAGGTCTTATATACTGTGATCTTTGCTTACAAAAAGATTAAACTGGCAAAAATTTAAGGATACCTTAAGAAAATAAAAAGTGTGATAGTCAATATTTATATTACCTGTTCAAAATTAGCTGGAAGGTGAGGTCCAAGTCTCATCAGTAAATACCACCAGACTTCTAGTTTTGTTAGTGCTAGAGCTTCTGTTCTCACATGAATGGAACTCAAAGGCTGCATTAACAACTTCAGTCTTTTTGCACTACACAGTATTTCTGGAAATAAAATAACAATAGGTAATGACAGTTAAATGGTAAAGATTAGATTGTAAGAGTGAATATTTACTTTTAAGAATATTTACTTTTATAATAGCAAGACAACAGATAAAGCCAATAGGTGTTCCTGTTCCAGCTAAAAGTTTCGTTTTCATAGACTCTAATAGTTATACCACAAAACTTAGTTAAGTCAATGATTTAAAAAAAAAAAAATGGAAAAGGAATACTATGTGGCCAGGAATGACTTTCCCACCAAGAGACAATTTGAAATGTAACTATCTTTGCTTATTATAACTAAGAGGCAGTGAAAAATGTGCTAAAATTATCTAGTAGTTTGGCACTGCTAAAATTTCTCACAACACATGCTGCTAAAATTTCTCACAACACATGGGACAGTCCTCAACAAAATGTCCAGTCTCATATGCCAAAGTGTTGAGAAACTCTAACCTGCTTTTTCATTATCCTCTTTTCTAGATCAAAAAAAGGAAGCATTGTTATAAAAAATCATAAAACATTGTTCTGTTAGTGCTATTAAGTACACTTTAGAAAACTAAACTATACATTAACAAAGATCACACTGCCCCTGCACCTCTGGCCTGTACCCCAGTTCTGCATGTATAAATAAGTAAATCTTTTAAAAAAAAAATAAAACTTCCAATTATTTTTCCAATGTTTTAAATAAACATTTCTCTAAGAAAATGCATTCAGATCATTACAGGAAAAATTAATTTATTCTGAATGGCTACTTATCAAGAGTACCTCTGATATGTAATATCCCTATCTATAATGGAGATTGCCAATGTCATGCAATAATCCATTCTCCCTCAGTAAAAGTCCTGTTTTTCCCAACTAGCAACAACAAATGTTGGGGAGGATGTGGAGAAAAAGGAACTCTCCTGCACTGTTGGTAGGAATGCAAACTAGTAGTACAACCACTATGGAAAACTGGAGGTTTCTCAAACTGCTAAACATGGAGTTTCCATATGAATCAGCAATCCCACTCCTAGGTATCTACCCAAAAGACACAAAAACATTGATTCAAAAAGATACCTGCACCCCCATACTTATTGCTGCTTTATTTACAATTGGAAAGGCATGGAAACAACCCAAATGTCCAAAAGTAGATGACTAGATTAAGAAGATGTGGTACATATACACAATGGAATATTACTGAGCAGCCAAAAAAATAAACAAACACATGCTTTTTGCAGCAGCATGGATGGAGCTGGAAAAATCATGCTTAGTGAAATAAGCCAGAAAGGAAAGGAAAAATACCAGATGGTTTCATTCATAGCAGGAGTATAAAGGACCAGGCGAGAAAATAATAATAATGAACAGCTATATACCAGAGACATTTTACAGGAGTGGAAAGGGGAATAGGGTCAAAAAATGGTAGGAGGAGGGAAGTGCACTGGACTACAGTGATGGCACACAGGTGATTTGGTGATGGGAAGCCCACGGGGATTACAAACAAACAGTGGGGCGGATGCACTGGATTATGGTGATGGCACATGGGTGATTTGGTGATTGGAAGCCCACAGGGATTACAACTAAGATGGAAAAAGTCACAAAATGATACAAAAATAAACTATTATATATATATATATATATTTTTTTTTTTTCAAAAAGTTCTGTATTTGTTCATTTAGAATGGACCATGATAGGTAACCAACTCTTAACATCTTCATCTAGTCACCCACTTAGGCACTCTGCTTAATATTTAAGATAAAATATATGTGGAGTTTCTAGAAGATACCTCAAAGATAATTGATTTAGTTGAGAAATAGTTCCTATCTGCTCTTCTGTCTTCCTGCCTCCAACTATGTCATACTGAAGAAGACAGAACAGAGAGGCATCTAAATCCTTAGTGACTTCTAAAGTCATAACACCTGTCATAGATTCTACTTTTAAGGCTTATTTCAATTAAGATAGCATTTTACTTATCTTATTTAATCTACTCCCATTTTATGCTTAACAATATGGGATCTGATCATCTAGCTCCAAACACTGCCTCAGACCACAAGTTCATTGAAAATATGATCTTACCAATTAAAAATTGTGTTTGCAGGCCTCCCTGGTGGTACAGGGGTTCAAGCCTCAGCATTATCAAGATATGGTCAGCCATTGCGGCATGAGCTTGATGCCCTAACAAGCAGCTAACCAACATGGCACAGTCCACCTTTCCTGTCTCGCCCATTGTTCCCTTTAGCAGTGTATTTCAGTAGCTCTGCCTGTTTTGCTCCCCACTATCTCTGGTGAATCCTTTCACGTCCCACACCTCTGGTCTACACCCCAGTTCTCATATGCATAAATAAAAAATAAAACGTGTTTTGCAATGTACTCTTTACCAGTTAATTTTAAAAATTAATCACTTTATAACATACATTAAAAAGGGAAAAACTTGGATTACTAAGGAAGGAAGAGATACAATGAAATCAGCACTAAGCAGATTTTGTAAAAATGCAGCATTAATTATAACTAAGATTAACTAAAAGTAGGTAAGTGTTCATGATTCATTTGGGAGCTAAATATTCCTTCTCCTATACACACAGACACCAAACATCTCTATTAGACAATCGAAGGATATAATGAAACTGATCAAAGGGAATCATTTTATGTATTAATGCTAACCTACTATATTAGGTTCTGTTTTAAAGGTCCTGAAAGAAAAACGGTAATTGATACTTCATAGCAATCACAATTGTATCCCCTATTAACTATATGACCTTTGATAAAAGACTTCACCTCTCTGTTAACAGTAATAATGCTTAACATCTCTGTTAACAGTAATAATGTTTAACATCTGGATCTATTGCTATGATTAATTTCAGGTACACACAAAGCACAACTAAGTGCTCCAATACACTAAATGAACTGCAAATGGTATTTGTCACTTTCCTGGCTTTGCAACAGCTTAACAGAAATTGTATATTTTATTGCTCAATAATGTCTATCCTTCAGATTCCATTTTAGCTACAAATTTGTTCTCTTAACATAAAAACCTGATGACAGGTTGTTTCCAAAATCCAGGAAAGCTGTTATTTTCCCCTTAAGTAAAATTCATAGAAAACTGAACTTACCTGGATTTAATGCAAAATTATCTATCAAACTCTTCCAAGCAATAAAAGCTATTTTTTTAATCATGGGTGCTCCACTACGAAATCCCAGTTCTTCCAGCTGTAGCAGAGAATTAATGAAACTCCCACTCCGATGCAAAGTCTAAAAAAGGAAAAAAGTCATTATTTTCCTGTATGAAAATATAGACATTGCTGTCATTTATCTCATTCAGTGTTAATTATGTAAAGTGTCAGAAATTGAAGTTTTAAAAAGTATTTAATTTGGTCTGGGCATTCAAAAATCCAAATCACAAAGTATAAAGCTCTATGAAGCAGATAAAATACAACACATTTCTAAAACATTAGAGAAAATAAGATAAATGCCAAATTTCATCAAATTACTAAAATAACACCAACATTTAAAAAATGAATGGTTAAAAGCAAACTTTTAAAAAAAGAGCTATCTTTGAGCATGAGAAAGAAATGCACGGCTCTATCTGCTATTAACACAAATGAGATAATAAGTGAAAAACTTTGAAATTATTTTCAAATATTATAGATGATTCAAATGAGAGTAACAAACAAAAAGGAAAATAAAGGGTAAAATGAGTAAATGACAATAAATCCAAAGAAAAAAATACATAAAAATGTCAACAGTTCTGAAAACCAGATGTATTCTAATCACAAAAACAAATGGCTTTAAAAAATCACAAAGAGGGCTTCCCTGTGGTGCAAGGGGTTAAGTCTTTCTTAGCACTATGAAGCTATCAGCAGCCATTGCAGCACAGATTCGATAACAGTTAGGGAGCTGGCCCACATGTGCAGCAGACCTCTCCTGTCTCTGCCCACTGCTCCCATCAGCAGTATATTCTGCTCCACTGTCTCTGATGAATCCTCTCATCCCCCTGCACCTCTGACATACATACACACAATTGGAAAAATAATAAAGTTGGAAACTCACTGCATAAATAAATCTTTAAAAGTAAATCACGAAGTTCCCACAAGAAAGCTCCTAGAGTAAATGAATTAATTCTGTATTGTTGGAGCACAAAATCAATATATAAAAAAAATCACTTGTACACATCAGTAACCAATAGTCTGAAAGGAAATTATGAAAGGAGTTCCATTTATAACAACCACTAAAGGACTTAAAACTTAAACTTAGGAATAAAGTAACCTATGGTTATTCATTTAAGCAGGGAGTTAAAAGAAAGATTTATATGTATTGAAAACTACAAAACATTGCTGAAAGAAATTTTAAGACCTAAGTAAATGAAAGATCATTTTGTTCATGAATAGGATGAATAATGCTAAACTGTCAATACTACTCAAAGCAACCCATAGATGCCATATAAAAATTCCAAAAGCTTTTTTCAAAAAATATAAAATATGACCCCAAAACTCATTATGAAATTGCAAGGAAAGATAATTGGAAAAATAAAAGTCAGAAACTCACTGACTTCCAAATTTAATACAAAGACAAACATACAGACCAAAAGATTAGAGTCCCCAAAATAAATTACCATACATGGCCAGGTAATTCAAAATGGTGTCAAGCACAGAGTAAGAATGGTCTTAATACAAAATCTTACATTATACAAAACTGTATGAAAAATACAAAACAAACTCAAAATGGATAAAATACCAAAACTATAAACTCAAAATACCAAAACTATAAACTCAAAAATTCTTATCTATTAACTCATAAATTATCTATTAATTCATAAAGAACTAATATCCAGCATATAAAAAATAACTCATATAACTCAACAACAAACTAAAAACCCAATTCAAAAACAGGCAAAGGTTTTCCTGCTGCGGTTTGTGGAGTCAGTTTGTGGGTCTCTGAGATCCCTACATTTATAGCTTCTTCACACACTGCCTCCACTGTAAGGCTACAGACCTATCTTGGATAATCACAAGTAAAAAAAATGTCACAAGGCTCATGAAAGTAGACAGACAAGTCTGGTCTGAAGGGTAGGTTCTACAATCCATTCTGACAATGCAAATGAAAAAGACAACTATTAATATACATGGAGAAAACTAACAGAAGACTGGTGAAAGACTCCACAGGGAGTAGTAGTTCTTGTCTATCTGCTGAACACAGAGGAATAGTCCCAAAACTAAGTACTTTCAAATAAAAAGCAAAAAAAGGAGAGAAAACAAAAATAGAAGACACTCTGCTCAAGGTTCATACCCAGGAAGAAACAGATAATACTAAGTTATTCAAACAGGAAAAAGAAAAGAGAAGGCATGAAAGATGCTTATTATTTTAGTCTGTTCTACTGAAAATGGTTTTACACAAAAACCTAAATACTGAATATTCACTAGGCCTATGGACCTAAGTTTTTGGAAGGGCCACATATTCTACCCTGAACTTAAAAGTCAGCTGTTAACTGTCAATACATGGCATAATATAAAACCCATGCCCATTTTGGGCGTTACTACCAAAAGTCAACATAGGCCAACTGGGACTTATGATACAATAAGGCAAGATTCCTTGGAAACAAACCTATGTTAACAACAATCCTGAAAATGAGATGCATGAATGCAATCTTACTGGCTCAACAACAGTTTCATACAACCCTTAGAATTATTAGTGAACATTATATACCCATCAGTAAAACCACTAATATTACTGTTTCCAAATACTACCCCACAGCCCTATATATGTAGAATAATCAAATGAACTATTACATTGCAAAAAAAAAAAAAACAAAATGATCCAGTTTTACACAAAAAATTACAATACTACCCAGCAAGACAAATCCAGAAAAAGCTTATCTAACACACCTATTTTTCTCTCCCCAAAAAAGACATTATCTTCCTTATTAAATGATTCATCATATATAACTTGAGTATCACTTAAAACTGAAATGTGGGGCCTACCAGGTGGTGCAGGGATTAAAGTCTCACTGTTAATCAAGCTATCACCAGCTGACTTACAAAGTGCAAGCTGCTCCCCTCAGCAGTCGATTTCAGTAGATATGCCTGTTCTCTTTACCACTGTCTCTGGTGAATCCGCTTATACACACCACCCACTTTTAGCCTACACGCCAGTTCATGTATGAATAAAAAAAAAACCTTCAGAAAAAGCACATGAAAAATACAGTAGGTAGGAAATGAACCACAAAAACATTTTGTGTAAAGAACACTGAAGAACTAAAACAGGCAGAGCATAACCTTGCTAAACTATAAACTACATACTGAAATACTCAAATTTTCTACAAGTGCATACCTATGAGTGGTTGAAAGAATACTAATGTTGGGTTTGCAAATAAATTTTAGTCAGGTGAAAATGTGCAAATATGGCAAGCATGAGTATGAATCTACTATATTTACAACTAAGAAATTAAATGGTCTATAGCATGTGAAAGCTGAAGAGTTTATTAAAGGTGAACATACCTTCCCAAGAAGTTTGACAAATAAAGGCCATAACTTTAACACGTAAGTCTCATTTTTACTCATAAATAGCTTTTGGAGTTCGGAAAGTAATTTCTGCAAATGAAACAAAAATATTTACCAGTGACTACTGGGACAGGGAAAAAAATATTCTGTATCAAATTGATTGTCTGAGTCAATAGCATTCCCTAATGTTTTACTTGAAAGAGTTTTACAGCAGATGTTCAAATGTAAATACCATTAAAATTTGTTTAATTATGTATCTGGTTATTCTTCCACTGATCAATTCAGCTTTTTCTATGAATATATTTTTACCTATAAACTTCAGGATGCAATATTACTGAAGTTCAAATGATGTTTTAACCTACACACTAATAACTTAATAATACATCAATAACTTCATGGATAAGACAGCTAAGAAAATTTTTGTATAAATTTATAAACTTTATGCTCTTCAAAAATGAATCAACTCATTAGAATAAAGTAACTTAAATACTGGACTAACTTTATTAAACAGTAGTCCTGGATTTTTAAAATAAACAAATCCCAGGTTTTAGAAACTGGACTTTTTTCACTGGTTTACTCTTACTTAGTTTCCCTGCTCCATTCATTTCCTTCTAAAGTCTATCCTCAACATAGGCAGTGCAATTTCTTAAAACCTAACTACCTGTATCACCCAGACTCAAAACTTTCAAATATGGTTTTCAATATAACCCACAGTGAAAGCTTAAACCTTACAATGGTCCCTAAGATCCTATTTGATTTGGCCCTGGTGTTTCTCTATCTCCTACTCCTCACCCTCCTCAGCCCAGTTATTCCTACTATCATACTGCTCAGTGTTCGATGAATACAAACCCAGTACATATCAGCTCTCATGATTTGACAGCCCGGATTGAGTTTATTTCATATTATCTAAAAAGTTTTTTAACTTAACATCTTCAAATTTCTATACAAATAAACAACTTTTCTCCCCTAACCACCTCACTTTTCCTTTAATGGTATTCTCTGTACAGTCCCTACTGTTCTCCCTAATCCTTTTCATTTAATATATTCTTTATACTTTATTATCCCTCCACTAGAAAATATGCTCCACAATTTCCTTTCATTCACTACTGTATTTAGAGTGCATGAAACAATGTTCAGCATAATAGGTGCTCAAATATTTTCTACAAGAACAAAAGCTGAAAATCCTAAAACCCAGGGCAAGTAATAACTTTTAAGAAGTTATACACAGTAGATACATGTATTAAATAATACATATCGGAATTATGCAATAACAACACTTAATCAGTCAATGCTTTTTAAGAACTGCAATTCCTTTCAATTTACCATTTCACTGGGGACAGGGTAAAAGGCCCAAATCACAGCAACACTGAGCATATCCCCTCTTCCCTATTGAATGTAAAAGCAGTGTGCCTACATTAAGTCAAGCAATTGTTTTAATTTCTTAGATTCCAGTACAATTATACCATTATGGGCCCTCTAAATATGATGCAGAACATTATGCAGTTTCCAAAAAATGTAAGACTCACAGTAGTCATAAGCTGCTCTGTGATAGATGCTATTTCTTGTTGTTTCTGAAGCAACAACGGCATTCCCATTTCCAGAGCAGTTGCTCCTCGCAAATGTACCTTTTGGGCTGAATGAACCACTAAAGGTATGACCAGTTTTGCCCACCTAACGGCTTCTTCTCCCATTTGAACAGGGGCTTGTTCAATTAGCCTGTAAGAGAGATATCATTGAACTACCAGGAAAATAAGCACACCAGGAAAATAAGCACACATAAAAATATGCCTAGTGTGGCGCATCTGTTTAAGCAGACAGACATAAATGTTAAAACACAGTAATACATTAAATTTTACTTGTTAGCTTACAGATTTCTGAGCTTTTATAATTTTTTTAAAAACACAGTTTTGTCTTGAAAAGACAGAAATATGTAATATTAATTATTTTCATCCTCATGTTCTTACAGGGACAATCAGAGCAAATAGGCAACATGCAAACATCAATAAGGACAGAACACTTAGTTTAAGCAAAACAGTTCAACAATTTAGGAAAACATTAGAATAACAAAAAATATGACAAATCTACCAAAAGAGTTTGGGGTGTTAACATGTTGGTTAAGAAGCAGGGAAGGGTAGAGAAAAGATAGGGGATTTCACTGTTTCTTTTACCTACAGCTAGGCACTGTTAATGCCTTCCTAAATACAGCTTGTCACCACCCTAGTAGTCTATATTATTTCTTTCAGTCTTGAAAAAGCTTTAACAGAGTTAATTTTCAAAATATCATTATTATGTAGCACAAATAGCATGACCAAGTTTTTGAGACTCCATCAATAAATATAAACATAGCAACCTAGTAACTTATGCACATCTAATTCTTGTGATTTTTCTTTTTGTTTTTTTTTTTTCTAAATATTTTATTTATTTATGGATACAGAACTGGGGTACAGGCCAGAGGTGCAGGGATGGTGAGAGGATTCACCACACAGAGAAGGGAGCAGAACAGGCAGATCGATGAAGTACACTGCTGAGGGGAGCAGCGGGCGGGTCAGGAGAGGTCTGCAGTGCCATGTGGTCACCTCGGGGCAGGGATCGAACCTGTGTGGAAGTGGCTTTAGCTTCTTAATACAGGGAGGGTCCGTGATTTTTCTTTTAATGCTTCATAATTAAGTTTCCAAAGTCTATTCTACTCCCTCAAATAAGTAAATTTTAAGTTTACTAAAAATAACCTTCTAATTTGCACAACATTAAAACACATACCTTATGATGACATTCAATGCTTCATAGTCAACAACAGCAGAATGCACCTCTCCTCTACTAAATATTACTTCTAGTGAATCAATTATGCAAGGAACCTAAAAGACAGGACCAAACAAATACAAGTCAAACAAACTTGAATTTCTTGGCTGGCATGTATTGAAAAAGATATACAGAAAAACTATACTCACTATTTTCCCAACAACTTCAGTGGGAAATGTCTGCTTGGAGATCACCCAAAGTGCCCTACTACGTAAATTTTTGTCTGAACTCTTAACAATATTATTCAATTTTGAGAGCAGTTCTTCAGTGTTTGTCTCTATAAAACAAACAGCTTTAGTTATGCAGAATAATTCTACATATTTTAAAATATATATAAACAGAAAAATAAGACATGCTTCATTATCAAAAATTTAAAGGCATATCCAGAGAACTGACTATAGAATCAATTGGGTTATCAAACTTCTTCCCAAAACACAAAACTGAGGCTAGTGAGGAAGGTGTAATTCAGAGAAAACAGGCAATCAGATATTTTCATAGGTTTCATTAATAGGCTTGTGGACAGTTTTTGTCATACTACGTAGCCTACATCTTTCTTTCTCCAAAATGAACAACTTCCACTTTAGATTGCTAAAGTTACTGTATAAAAAAATGCAGATACTTTTGCCTCAGAAAAGAATAACAACTTCCAACGTCCTCATTTGCTATTTCTCATATCCCAACTCTAAAGATTATTTCCAACTACAGGGCAAACTATAGAGCAACAACTCTATGTTTTCAATGTTATTCGAAAACATCAGGTCATGTGCTTTCATTACAAATTATTCCACTTATTATGTAAAAGAACCTTTCAATTTAGCATGTTCCTCAGTGCATACGTGTATGCCTGTATAAATATAAATGGCCCTATAAACAAATAACTTTCAAGGCAGATGTGTTTTATAAAGGCATAGGTTGAGTTTTCACATTTTCAAACATGTTTACTTTTCTTGGACTGAATTTTATCGTATTTAATGTAGAGCTATATCTTGTAAAAAAAGAAATCTTACAGTACAAATTATGAAACTAATAAAGAGATAACAATACTCAATGGTTTAGACTTATAATTTATTTATACAAACTCTGAAAACATTGTTACAATAATATTTAACTACCTGATAATCCTGAGGTTATTTTGGGATTATATAAGCAAAATCCCAAAGCCTGTAGAGCAGCACTACTGAGTTCCGAGTTTTGACTGGAAATGTGAGTCTAGAAAAACCAAAAACCCATTACCAAAAAAAGTATTATAAATCAATTTCAGAGCAAAAGCGAATACAATACAGCTTGGCAAATATAGTTTAAGTGAAAAAAATCTTTCCTAAATGATTAAGAACATCTTAACTTAAATAAAGCAAAGAAGCCCCAACTCATCTTGTTACATCCCAACTCTACATTTATTTGTAACCCTAATCTTTCATGATTCTATTCCTATTTTCAGTGATTTAGCTTTATTTCTTAGACAAGTTATCTTTTTTAAAGACATATTTATTTTGCATGTAAGATCTGGGGTGCAGGCCAGAGGTTTTGGGGGGTGAAGAGGTGATAGAAATCATTAGAGACAGAGTGGGGGGTCAGAACAGGCAAATTGACTGAAATACACTGCTACGGGGAATTGGGGCAAGACAGGAGAGGTCTGCACTATATGTGGGTCACCTCCCTGGCCAGGGATCAAACCCAGGCTAACTCAAGCCACAGCAGTGATAGCCACCAGGGAAGCTTGATTTATCTTTAAATCCTTTTCCCTGAACCAAGTTTCCAAGGATCTTTGGCAATGAGTTCAGACAACCAAAAAGAAACAAAGTCTTAAACACTTAATCTTAGCTACTATTTGATATTCAGCATCTGGTTAATAGCTGTTTAAAAGCACAAAAGCAAGTTCATAAAAATAAGAACTTAAAAGGAAATTAAACAGCCTCTTCATCTAAACACAAAAAAATTAAATTAGGTGTTAAGGAAGGCCAATACATTCTCAAGTGAGGACAAAAAACATGGGCCCTCAAAAAATAACCTTAATAAAAGGTTTTTAACCAGGCAACAGTGGGAAAAACTGTAGGTGAGTGAAATTATTAGATGGTACCTAGAGTGGACTAAAATTATACAATTAGAAGTACAATCCTACAAAGAGAGAAAATATTAAAAAATCTGATGAATGCTTTTAAATAAGAATTCAAGTGACCATTGGCAAATTTACACCAAGTTAAAGCAATTTCACCTGCAAAGTGGAGATCAAGAGTAATGTCGCTGAGACATGTAAGATTATGTAAAAGACAAAAAGCATGTGGATAAATATTTGATACATTATAAATATGCCATAAACCAATAATATAATAAAAGTATAATCCAGTTGCTGCAGTTATTTTAACCCAAAAATATTGTCATTTAACTAATAATACTTCACCCCTCCCAAAACCCTAATAAGCAATAGATACCGATATAACTTTGTAAAGTCGAGGAAGTTTTTTCTCAATTTCTGTAATAACTTCTTTCCCATCTTCTCCAGTCATACGACTTAAACACAAAAAAAACACAAATTATGCAAATAGCAAACATAAAAAAAACTATAATCACTTCCTAAAAAAAATTGCATAATCTTTTTAAAGCTTGTCCAGCTCTGGCAAATGATTATGTATTACTCTATAATGCAATATACATTTGCTATAAAGACAAAAACCTGCAGAATACATGTATTCAGCATATACACATTTCATTGGAAGAGGGAACAGGGAAACCCATCATTAGTTACAAAATTACTAAGTATTTATCTTTTTGTACCAGTTGTTACTCTTTCATAGCAATTTCTAAGTAACAAGATAATGCAGAAAACTAATTGGCAGGAGAAAAAATGTGAAACAATTGCAATTAAAATAAATCCAGGATACTGCTCTTTATTAAAAAAACAATTCTGAGCTGCCACATTGTCTCAATACATGGAAGGGTTTACACTGAAAACCACCCCTCCAGGATGTTTATCTCCAGGGCAAGTTTTACAAAATCCTTGGCCTGTAAGACACGTGCAGGCTTCCTCATTCTAAACACACCTTGCGCGCTGCAGTAGCAGCACCCCAGACGTCACTTAGCCCGAGTACCGCCCCCCCATTCCCCGAGCAATTCGCCCCCGACCCAGGACTTCACGGCCGCCAGACTTCTAGAATACATAACTATTCTCTCCCAAGATGCACCAGAACGCTGCACCCCTACTCGGCCTCACCTGGTTAAAGTCAGGTAAGCGTCGGTCTGCTCTCCATGGGAAGCGGAAGGGTCTTCTAAAGTCTCCAAGAGCGGTGCAAGGGGGCTCTGACCAGTGGCCGTCATGTCGGCCACCCTACAGCAAAGACCGGAAAAGGAGAAAATCCAGTTGGCAGAAGGAAACAGCCTTGCGGCCGTCCAGCACGAGTCAGGGGCCCAGACCCACGCGCCCGCCCCCGGCTCCTCAGTTGCACGGCGGCCACACACCTGCCCAATGCGCACAAACCCAAGATCGTGACCTGCTCCAGCGACCTGCAGCACGCATCCGGGCCCACACCGCACTCTAGCCCAGGCCAGCTCCCGCCACCACTTTCCCGGGCAGCTTTCAACAGGGGGAGGAGACCAGCGGGGGAGGGGGCGGGAGAAGCCGGGGAGCCGGGCATCTCGCCGCGAGGGGGCGGAGGTTACGGCAGGCTCAGCGATCCCCGCGACCTAGCGCTGTATCCGACAGTCATCCTACCTGCGAAGATCCCGACCGCGTCCTCTTCGCCTCTGCCCCGCAACACCCGGACACGGCCAGAGCTCGACTTCCCGGATCCGGCTGTTTACTCACGCGCGCGGCCCTCTCCCTCCTGAACCAAGATGGCGGCGGGGGCGGGGCGCAGGAGCGCGCGGGAGAGGAGCAGGCCTGGCGGGAGAGGCTTGAGCCAATCCAACAGGCAGCGGCGCGCCGAATTCATCGATAGCCGCTCAAGTCTGCTGCCTGGCGGGGCCCCTAGGGTCACCTCGGTGATGCGCGTGTTTAGCCTAAGTTAAAGCCATCTGGGACTTGAAGTTCAAAATGGGAGTGAATCACCAAAAGCTCACCAGACTAAATTCATATTCAGTTTTCAAACTCCAGGTTCTTTCTGTGCGTGATGAGGTATTAGCAAATCGATGAGGTATTAGCAAATCATATAGCACCAAGGATCGTAATACTTAAGACTAACACTAAGATTTACTGCAGCTGGATTGATCTAGAGTTCAACTTTAGTTTCTTTGACGCTAGCTAATTAACCTTTCTATGCCCCAGTTCCTCCACAGTAAAATAGGCATGACAATAGTACCCACTTCAGGTGAAAGTGACCTAATAAATTGTTGAAGAGGCCAAAGTCTCCCAAGTTTTTGTTGTACATAACAATGGCCTGCGGCTACTCATGATTAAACTGCAGGTTTAATCTGGACCCCACCCTTACTTAGATATTGTGATTCAGTAGATTTAGCATCTGCATTCTTCTATTAGCCCCCAGGTAGGGAAGGGTGGGACCTTTCGCACCTAAAGAAGCTACAGTAAAACCCTTAAAGAAACATCAGTACTTACTATGAAGTACTTACTATGAAGGCCTTTTCTCAGGCCTTTGAGCTCTCTACAGAGCACACAGAATTTTATCAACTTTAAAATAGGTACCAAAAGGGGCCCTCCCTGGTGGCGTAGCGGGTTAAAGCACAACACCAAGAAGCTAAAGCCGCCTCTGCATGAGCTCGATTCCCGCCTGCCCCGAGGTGACCACATGGCGTGGCAGACCCCCCCTGACCCGCCCGCTGCTCCCCTCAGCAGTGTACTTGGTCAATCTGCCTGTTCTGCTCCCCACTCTGTCTCTGGTGAATCCCCTCACCACCCTGCACCTCTGGCCTGCATCCCAGTTCTGGATGTATAAATAAATATTAAAAAAAAAAAAAATAGGTACCAAAAGGCCCAGCAGCAATTGGTCCTGCCATTTTGACCTGGCACACTAAAAGGCCCAGCAGCAATTGGTCCTGCCATTTTGACCTGGCACACTATCTCCATCCAGGCTTTCTCTTGAGCTTCTACTTACCACAGATGAGACAACTATCAGCTCCAGAACTCTTCCTCTGTGTATTCTGCAGTGTCCACCAACCCAAGCACTCAGTACATAACATGGTTCTTAAGTGAAAAAAATGAAGAGAGACAGGAAAGACATACAAGGTTTTGTGTGCCAAGCTACAGAAATTGAACAATTTAAAATGTGTGAAGAGTTGTAAATTTAGAGAAACTACAGCAGTGATGCAGAGAACTGTTTTCAATGCAGCTTAAGAATAAATTCTTTAAACTTCCAAGAGAGAATTTGATCCTTCTTTTCTGGGCTTTGATAAGACAACACAGATCTTGAAGAAGGTGAACAAGTTATTAGATAATGAGTGTAACACATGGACAGATTTGCAATATTTAGATTTCAGTATAGTGGAGCTATTACACATTACATATCTATACTTTGTTTTCTGCCTCTCCCCTCTAGAATGTAAATTCGTTGAGTATAAGGAGTTTGTTTTGTTTATTTATATAAAAGAGGTCAGGCTGATTGTGTTGCCTGTACATCTTCTAAACACATGCTTATGATAGTCCTAAAATGTTATGCAATTTTTTCATTGTCACTCCTGAGAGAAGCTGAGACCAGAAGAACTTGGGGAATGGGAAAGGCTGGGACACAGGACAATGATTTTTTTTTTCAAAGATTTATTTACTTATTTATACAGAACTGGGGTACAGGCCAGAGATGCGGAAGGTGAGAGGATTCACCACAGACAGAGCGGGGAGCAGAACAGGCAGATCGACAAAGTACACTGCTGAGGGGAGCAGCGGGCGGGTCAGGAGAGGTCTGCCACGCCATGTGGATCTCCTCTGGGGCAGGCGGGAATCGAACTCATGTGGAAGTGGCTTAAGCCTCTCAGTGCTATGCTTTACCTGCTGCACCACCAGGGAGGGCCAGGACAATGGTTTTAAACAATATAGGTACAGAAGGAACAAAACAGCTCCCAGGAAAATAGAAGTGTGTTACTGAAATGTTGCTGAACCAGCCACCAAAGTAAGATCTGGTTACAGGATAATTAGGGAACAAAGCAACAACCACCATTAAACTTCCCAACCACCTAATCAATAGTCTCGCACATTGGACAACAGAACGTCTGACAGTGTCTAGTCACAGACAGGGCTGGGGAAAATGGGCATCCTCCCTTACACCCCTCCTGCTGTCAGGAGTTCTTTCCTCTTGCTTCAATAAATGCACACTTGCTTGCTCCCATGTTCGGTATTGCAGCTGTTGTTCTCTAACCAGCATACACACCTGGACCCATGAGCACCCACTCTCCTAACACTCCCATGCTTGAAATATTTGCTCAAAGTTTTCCACCAGTCTCAGGTGAATTTTAAAACATACAAAGCCTATCATGGCTTTTGGTCTACTGCTTACCTTTCATCTCCAGTCTTAATCCCATTTTATTCGGGTTTGAACTAGATCTGTCAGAATCTTTAATTTTTCTATATCTTTGAAGGTCTGTTGTTCTCTGTGTTCAGAAAATTAATTTCCTTGTCAAATGTCATAAACTCTCATTTATGATAGTCAACTAAACTTTTAATTTTTATTAAGATTTATTTATTTATGCTTACAGAACTGGGGTACAGGTCAGAGGTGTGGTGAGTCAGGATTTACCAGAAATAGAGTGGGGAGCAGAACAGGTAGATGTACTGAAATACACTGCTGAGAGGAGCAGCAGGCCAGTCAGGAGAGGTCTGTCATGCCATATAGGTCAGCTCCCTGGCGGGGGATCGAACTGGTGCTGCAGTAGTTTCAGAGAGCTTCATAATGCGGTACTTTAACCCGTTACACCACCAGAGAGAGCCCTAAACTTTTACCTTTACCTAGATATATTCTTATCTATTCTCCCATCTTGAAATTTAAATGTTGACATAACTTTTCCAACACAGATAGCATGAGTATCTTTATAATTAATTATGAATATTAATTTATAATTGTTTGGTATAGGTACCTGCAGTGGCAGAATTAAAGGTTAGCCTGAGGAGAATATGTCTACCCACAATCTCTGTAAGTGTCCCTCCTTGTTCTCTGGTATTTTCTTAATCTGATCTAAAGTGCTAAGTGAGTACAAAATTAAACAGATCCCCTCCCTACCCAAACTTGTCTCTACACACCCTTCCCCAGGAAAAAGGGAGCTTCTAGTTTCCCTGCTCCATCAAGGGAGAGTGGAGCTCAGCAGGCAAAAGAAGCTAGAGAGAAGACAGAAAGAAAGAAGGAAACTGGATGGAGAGCCAAAAAGAAGAGCTGAAGGAGGCACATTGAGTGGAGATATGCGAAGAATCTGCTCATGCTTCTTGTTTGTAGACTGGTTGGAATAGATGTGGGTGTGAGACCCATGAAGATGTTAATAATGGCTGCTTTATCATGATTTTGATTTTACTCTTTTCCTTCCAGACTTGTCCGCCTGTTTTTGACCTTTTTCAATGGGTTCCCCACCTAAAGTACTTTAGATTTATGGCAGGCTTTCAGGCCTTGCTTTGGGCCAACCCTGTTTGGCTGGATTTTCATTCACAAGTAGATGGGTATCTTTGGGTTACTATATTCGTTGTCTTGTCTGTATTGCAAGTTCCTTTCTATCAAAGGTCTATATGTTTTATGTTGATGAGGTAGATGGAAGAACTTTTTTAAAGCAAACAAGTTGGGTGGTCCTAGGTGTCCCTCTCCCTGCCCTGAAACAGCCATGTCCCTAATGAATTAATATCTAACTAATTCATGTTTGCCTTTATAAAATTCTAACATTTCCTGAAATCCTATTTAAAAAAACCCTTTCGGGCCCTCCCTGGTGGTATAATGGCTTAAAGCACAGCACTGTGAAGCTAGACATAGCCTCTTCAGCGTGAGTTCAATCCCAGGCCAGGGAGGTGCAGCAGACCTCTCCTGTGTCATCAGCTGCTCCCCTCAGCAGTGTACTTCACAGATCTGCCCGTTCTGTTTCCTACTTTGTCTCTGGTGAATCCTCTCGCTACCTCTGAACCTCTGGCCTGTCTGCATAAGTAAATAAATCTTTAAAAAAAAAAAAAACCCTTTCTACAGTAAAGAATTCAGTATTATATTACTACCCTGTTCTTAAGAGGTACAATACAATATTTAGAGTAAAACAAATTCTGTACCTGAACCTCATATGATTTAGAAATGACACTTACATGAGAGAAATGAAGCAAAGGTAGCTAAATATATTAACAATGTTTTACTAGTGTATCTAAGTGGAAGTTATTGTATTCTGTAACTTTTCTGTAGGTTTAAACTATTTTTGAAAGTTAAAACAATAAAAAGGAGAGACGCATCGGGCAAAACGGCAAAGAGCATTCAGGCCTTTGTCCATCCAGGGAGACAAACTGACCTAACAATAATATAGGTGCCGGAATTGTTTTTGTGAGAAATCTAAGAACCAATTAAGAGGCACAGCACCAAAGGCAAAAGCAAAGCCTAGAAGAGATGCTTGGAAGCAGGTAGGAAATGTGTTTGCATTTGCCGGTTCTAGCCTCTCTTCCTCCCTAGAATAAATATGTTATCTGAAAAACAAAACAAAAATGATCAACTTCCAGTTCCTTCCTTGGGAAGGAAGGAGAACAATACTTCCTTCCTTGGTGGATACTCCTAGGTGGCCCAAGAGTCTGGTTTCTATCTTGCATGACTCAAGAGTGCCTATGGGAACGGAAGTATATACACTTTGGACACTAAGTTTGAGAGTACCGCAGTACCGCAAACAGGCACTAGGGGGAAATGG